CATAGATGTTTTTTGGGTATTTTGAACCGGTGCGTGCGGAAACTCTCAAACATGAATAATTTTCCCTGTGCATTTTACATTTCCCATTGTTTTATTGGTTGCAGGTTTATATATTAGTATAGATAATGTTTAAATATAATATTTTCATTACAAATAATAAATATCACGTCCTCTAAAATAAAGATGGTCGAATTTACTATTTTAACGAACAGATCAATTGTACCAATTCTTTTTAAATATATGAAAGGACGCAATAATCTAGTTCAAGGACTAATCGGTTTTATAATAACTCAAGAAAAGGTAATTAATATTAATATAAATTCGTATATTATCTCGCACAGGGCTTCGGTTATCGTTTGCAAGTTATCAGCTGGAATTGTGGAAAAAATGTGTCACCTACTTTTTGCTCTGTTTGCACGAATACTTTTATAAAGGAATTTATTTTTACTTTGTTGAAAACACGTATAATTAAATATTGTAGAATTAACATAAGAGGAATTAAAACTTATTAATAAGTGAACGACACGCGTACATTTATTCGAGTCGAAAATCTTTGTTATCTTAGTCGTAGCCGAATTCTTTTGTCTTATACAATCAACATTATCATTTACAAAATGAATTATAACAATATTGGGTATCAAAAGAACTTAGGGAGCATACTACAAATAGATTTAGTGTTTGGTTTACTTAGTAATTTCCAAGCCTTTTATACTTTACTTCAGGGGCATTTTTAAAAACTGTTTTCTGCTCATATAGCAATAACTGACTAGCCACAGGCATTGGCGGTAGTTGTGGATGATTAATAAAATGATATTATCTGGCTTATTAGTCATAATATTGTGCCATTACACCAAAACGTGACTTATAGTCATTTCAAACATTTGCATAACTTAATTGGTTAACTTTCAGTAAATTTGTACAATACAATAATTATGACTCTCTTTTATATGTATGTTACTCGTAATATAGATGAAATTGAAGGCAATATACATTTAAATTAAGCTTTTACTTTCAAAAGCTATTTATAGAAAAAAAAAGTATTGCCAAAACAAAAAATAAATAAATATAAAAGTTACATTTTTTAAATTGTTTTACTTGTTGACAAACTGTACGCAGTTTCGTTTTACGAATGGAAATTTACGTTACTGAAGTTAAAAAAAAAATTGTATCTGACGCGCATGAAGAAAAAGTTAGCTACGTTTTGGCGCCAAACACAGAATGATGATTCGCTTTTTCCAAACGAGATCATGCACGTTATTGTGCAGAATTAGAGCAAACAGACGTTTTTACTAGTTTCAATTTTATTGTTAGTGGTGCAGTTATGTGCTTGACGACAACGAGTGATGTAGCTAAGTTCGGCGTGAAGAATTCGCGCTGATTTCGTGTGACGTACTTACGGGTCGTGGGTTTAATTCACAACGTGCAACTTGCCTTAGTTATCTTAACGTCTAAAAATCTTAATATTAAATGGACGGTGGGAAAAAAATATATAATCCCGGTTTATGGAATGTGTGAATTGGCAATCTGGTTAAAGTTCATGGATTTACAAATAGAAAATTAATAGAGCATTCTAATTATTAGACTGGAGCATTCAAATTATAAAATTAACACTGTCATGAAAATTACACGAAGTTACTAATGTACGTAACAGAATAATAAAACTAAATAAATTTGGAAAATTTCTTAATCTACCAAAAACGTTATTATTATAATAATGATGTGCCGACACGCAGTTATTAGTTTAATTTAATTAAATTAGGATTGCAAAAAATATAAGAAATTAAAATTACATAACATTTTTGCACGAATATAGTCTTTCTGAATGTGTGTCAAGGCACATTATTGAGGATAAGTAAAGTATACCCTTGCACATCTGCGTCTTATGCACGATATAAAGCAAATATTAATACGTTTGTTATTTGAAAAATTCGACTGTTTCACTTAGGTGCAATTGTAAAGAATCCATATGAAATCTAATACTTCAAGAAATTTTATTATTTTCACGCTTAAACGCTTGTGACAATTTTTTTCAAATATCTCAGATGAACTAACTACTCAAAATTTGTCCTTGGAATAACGAGGAAATACAATATTGGAACTTTTCTTTGGAAATATATCGTTTGTGAAACCGCGAGTAGTCTCTAGTCTTATAAAAAAAAACTTATAAAACTATCTACATCTAAACACTTCCAGAGAGAACTTACTCTGGAAGTTATACATACTCAAGTTAAAATCTTCCATATTAAGTATAAATATTACTTTATATGAGAAATCAGACATGAATGAAGTTCACCTGATGAGTATACTCTAGCCATTCAATATATAAATGCACGCTGTCGACTGTTCTTGCTGTTGGACGGATATACAGGAATCCACAGACAGAAATCAAAACGTTTTTTAGATACGTGTAATTGTATTGTTTATTACATTTAACACAGAGTTTAATTAAGAGTAACTTAAAACGACTTTGTTTAATTTTATTAAACAAAGGAACTATAGTTACTGCACAATACCTGTTACTGCGTCTAATTGTTGCAAACAACCCAATATAAGGGCATCGCTCTTTTGGCCCACTACTTGTGAGCAGCACTCGTGATTTGTGAACTTAAACTAAAGTTGCCGGAAACGTCAAACATTCGCAAAATGAGAAATTATCAGAATTTATGATATCCGACAGCTAATCCGGCAATCATTGTTTTGTTGTTTCCAAGATTAATAATGTTATAACTCTAAATTATTGTTAATAATGCAGCTATTTCAACATGGGCCCCCGTTCTGTAAAAAATTTAAAAAAAAAAATCCCCCCCCCCCTTTTTTGGGATGATTTTTTGTTTTTTGATCCGTTTGCGCACATAAAGGAGCCCTCAAAGATAAATAATGTTCCCCGTTTCACATTTTTACTGTTTCGTCGCTCCTATTGGACGCACCGTGATAGCCTAGCCTTCCTTGATACAAAGCCTAACTACACAAAAAAAATTAAAAGGATTTTTCAATTCGAATCAGAAGTTCCTGAGATTAGTGCATGGAATATAAACTTGCATATGCATTAAATAATACACAAACATATGTACTACACACCATTATGCAGTAACTTTATCCCTTACGTCTATTGAGTAAGTGCATAAAATGGCTATTGAAGACAAGATTGAACAATTGTTTCACAAAGTAAGGACAAAATTACTGTAGAAGAATTTAAATAAAAAAAACGTTTTATTTTCTTACTTTTAGTACTCTTAAGAATTAAATTTATTTCTTTAACACAATGCTGTTATGTCATGTAAACGTAATAGAATAATACAGACACATAAATCTGGATGCGCACAGTCACAGACAGACTAATAAAAAGTATTGAAGCGTAGATATAAATCGCCATAGCTCGCGTCGTAGCGTAAAAAATAAAAGTCTGGATGCCACTCTAACAATGTTAATGGTTTTCTCAGGAACTAAACAAAGGGACTTACTTTTTGTTTGCTAAAATCAAAGTCCTAGAACGTAGCGATAGTTATACATACATATAGATCTTAAGACTAGCTTTTACTCTTGGTTCTGTTCGCTTGAAAAAAGAAGCCTAAAGGTACCGATTACAAGTAAACGGTCTGACATGACATTGTTTCTGTATCACTTCATTAATCTGTTATATTAGTCTATAGTATAGATTAGTATATAGTATAAATAAGAACATTAAAAATGAATTTAAATATTAATTATCACTCATTTTAAGAATGTATACTAAGACATAATTTATAGCAGTGGCCGGGTGGGACGTTAACTTGTAGCTTAAACTTTATTTTAATTTGTTTAAATCAGTGTCAGAAGGATTAATTGTCTAAAATATTAATAAGTATTTATAAAGAAAAACTCGTTCTTTCTAAATGGACTGCCTAGTTAGATTTAGAATAATGTATCGAATTAATTTTGGTTCATGATACAATAAGAAATATGAAAAAGATAACTACTTTGTGTTAAGCAGATACACAAAGAGTTGCACATTCTAGAAAACAATAATATTTTTTTTAACATCCGATAATTCCTTACAATCAATTGTGTTATTTTAAACTTTATCTGCGATGAAACACTTCACGTTTACAAAACTTGAAATGTTTATAATATGTTTCTTCACTTGTTTTGATTAAAATCTATCATCAAGTTATTTATTTAATTATATTATATTATTATAGTACTATTACATTGTACTTATAAGTCTAAAAATATAATACTTGGTTCATTTATTTGACCTTTTGGCATCACTTTTCTTTAAATCATATTAATAATTTTATTGTAATTATATTTATTTCTTTATAACATTCAATTAGTCCCTAGCAACAGTGTTCAATTAACTACCAGTGACATTCTCCTGCCTGTAGGGTGACTACTGAAGAGTTTTCATATATTCAGCTAAGTCTTTAAAATGTAGATGTACGATATAAATACGACGTCACACACACGACATGTCATGTTTGTTATACAGTCGATTGGAAATCATATTCGAGTGTCGCTTAGAGGTCACATCTCGTAGAAGTTTGCCCAAGGCTCTCCGGTACAAGTCGTCGACCCTCCGTCACCTTGCTTCTCCAACTTACGCAATCCGTTAATCTTATCATCTGAATGCACACCCGCGCGGCCTCGTGGCTCCACCAAATAAAACCCAAAACTCTTCACTTATTTATTTTCAAATATTATGCAGCATACAAAGCAGACCAGCTTGGGTTCACGTGATGGTATACTGTCCCAGCCATCTACGAAAACATAGGTGTGTCTAATACTTCACGTGACAAGAATTATGATTTTTGGAAAAGTCCCCTCTTGTTTTACTTTCTACATAGGCAGAGTTGTAAAATGTATGTAAATAGTATATAGATTTACCTATAACAGTTATGTTACACAATTATCTTTAAGTTATTTATAAATTAGATAATAAAATCAATACCTGTATATTTCATATTACTTAGTCTGTCACAGGAAGTGTAAGCAGATGTGGGCACATTTCACAGAACTTTTACTTAGAAAGAGTTCGTAGCACGTGTAGTAGCTGGGCTACGGCTCGTAGCAAGCTGGCAGCGGTCCGTCGTTGGGCGCCAAAGCAGCGGAGAGAGGAGTGGCGGTGGGACGAGCCTGCGCGCGCGCCACCTGCGCGTATTTATTCGCAAGGCCACGCCAGCGCCGCGCCAGTGCGCTAACGTCGTTCGCACGCGCAATACCATTACTATACCTACGTACTATCGCGACAACGAACGCGCACGATCAATATTATGTACAGTTATTTTTTCTGACAAAATAAAAATAATAATCATTCAAAATGATAATGCTGTTTGCAAACTCGAAAATACTATGGGGTCTGTGGCAAGTGGTGACTTATTGTACGTCGCGGACGACTCTACCACTGTTGATTGTGGCCGGCGTAGCGTTTCTGGTGATGCAGCTTATGAGTCTAGTGCGCGAGAGCCGCAAGCTTCCCCCGGGGCCGTGGGGGCCACCCATTGTCGGCTACCTTCCGTTCGTGGGGGTTCGCCACAAGACGTTCTTGGAGCTCGCCCGTTGCTATGGTGCTTTGTTCTCTGCGCGTCTTGGAAACCAGCTGACTGTGGTGTTAAGTGATTATAAATTGATTAGAGAAGCTTTCCGCCGTGAAGAGTTTACTGGACGTCCCAGTACACCATTGATGCATACTCTAGATGGACTCGGTAAGCACTAATTTCAGTCAGTTTGCATTAAGTTAATAATAAAAAATATTTATTCTTTCGAAAAAAAAATGTTTTAACCAATTCAACGCTATCAAAATTGTACAGATTTTAATATTCTTTATTACAAAAAATTCCACTAATACAATAATATCAAAATGGAGATAAATATTAATAAAAGATAAGATTAAGATACGCGAAGCCCGAAGTATATAACGCCGGCTAACGAAAGCACATGCGCACGGGGCGTCTTGCAGACAAGACCTCCCGTAGCCACAAAGCGCCGCCCACATGCATATACTTCAACCCCCTCCTTCTTGTGCAGGTATCATTAACAGTGAGGGTCGCCTCTGGAAAAATCAACGCCGATTTCTGCACGAGAAACTGCGTGAATTCGGTATGACATACATGGGAAATGGAAAGAAAATTATGGAAGAAAGAATTAAGGTCGGTATTTACAGCTGGCGTGGAAATCAATAAATCCTGGAAAGGGAAAAGTGTTATATTGTTTTTATTTTATTTTAGACTGAAGTTCAAGAGCTGATGATCAATCTACATTGTGCTGATGGCGTACCGATTGATGCGAATCCTCTGTTTGCTCTCGGTGTGTCGAATGTCATTTGCGGAATTACTATGTCCGTGCGGTTTAGCCATGGGGACGCTCGCTTTGAAAGACTCAACCATTTGATCGATGAAGGCATGAGGCTATTCGGCGAAATCCACTACGGAGAATACATTCCACTGTACAATGTAACTATCTTCTTTATATCTTATCTTATTTTTATTAATAGAGGTCATATTTGGATGCTTATTTCATTATTGTTTGTAGTATCTCCCTGGAAAAGCTCAAGTCCAAGAGAAGGTGGCAAAGAACCGCGAAGAAATGTTCTCGTTTTATCAAACCTTGATAGATGAGCATCGTAGTACTCTTGACGTGAATAAGGCGAGAGATCTCATTGATGTTTATCTTATTGAGATTGAAAAGGCTAAACTTGAAGGTCGCGAAGGAGAATTATTTGAGGGAAGAGATCACGGTAAGTAATCTGAACGTGACTATTTGTAACATAAATAAAAATAAAAAAAATATTTACAATGCAATGTCTTGGATAGTTTTTTAAATTAATTGTTTGTTTTTAGAATTGCAACTGAAACAAATTCTCGGGGACCTTTTCTCTGCCGGTATGGAGACGATAAAATCCTCCCTATTGTGGATGATTGTTTTCATGATAAGAAACCCCGACGTTAAGAGGCGAGTCCAGGAGGAGCTTGACGTTGTCGTCGGTCGCGACCGTCTTCCGACAATAGAAGATATGCCCGGTCTTGTTTACACGGAAACCACTATTTTAGAAACACTGCGAATGTCGAGCATCGTTCCACTGGCCACGACCCACTCTCCAACTAAGTAAGTTGATGTTCATAATATTCCATAACACCAGAACGCCGGTTTCTCTAAAAACATAGACTAAGTTGACCTTCTTTTAACAGAGACGTCAACCTCAACGGATACAGAATTCCGGCCGGCTCTCAAGTGGTACCGCTGATCAACTGTGTTCACATGGATCCCAATCTATGGGATGAGCCAAATAAGTTCAACCCGAGCAGGTTCATCGATGACAACGGTAAAATAAGACGACCTGAATACTTCATGCCCTTTGGCGTCGGACGGCGAATGTGCTTAGGCGACGTTCTCGCTAGGATGGAGATGTTTATGTTCTTCGCGAGTATGATGCACCAGTTCGACGTTCAAATGGAACCTGGGGATGCTCTTCCTTCCTTAGAAGGTACGGTGGGTGCTACAATCGCACCGCAGGCATTCCGCGTTAAGTTCGTCCCGCGCACCCCGCCCGCGCCGGCCCCGCCAGCGGCCAGTCAGCCGGACCACGCGCACCTTCGCCACGTCGGGTCACACTAAGTGACTGACACCATTTGCCGACACAGACCCACCAGTATTCAAGATCACTCGTTTTAGAGCGCATCGATGACAAATATTATTAAGTTTAGATAAGTGACGACGTCGCCCCCTGCGGCGACGGTCGAGGCTGTGCATAAAGTGTTCAATTAAATATTAAAGGACCTGAAGCCGTAGATAAGTTAACGGTTAGGAAACGATAGCGAACTTCCAAGTATAACGTATGGAATTGTCATACGCCGTCGTTAAATAACATTTCGTTCGTTATCGTTTCGATTGGTTGACTCGGCTTAGACCGCTGTAATTTAGATACTTTACTGAAAATTCCCATCGTTGAGATTATAATTATTTTTTGTTACGACAGTATTATTTGTACACGATCTTTAAGATCGCTGCCGACCATGCAAATCGATATCTTTCAGTTCATCAACATTTCTGTTCGTCTAGTTTTTCTATACCAAATTATCGATTAAATTTAGATCATTATTTATTAGTGTGAGTATAAGAGTTGAATGTTGAGTGCGATCTCATGTTAATTGTGTAACGAGTGAAATAGTTAAGATTCGGTTAAGATTGTGTAATGCATACCTTTTCTAGTACCTAGTAGTAGTAGAATGTACCTATCATGAGCAATATACCTAGTAACATTCCATGGTAGCGTAGAACCAGCGACTAGTCTAAGAGCGGTAAATATTTGTCGCTATAAGTTTATTATTTACATTGACGCAACGACACTACAAATGTGTTCCGCTAAGTGTCCGCAACCAAGTTGCTTCCTCTGTCAATACTTTGCGACACGGCATCATCAGTAAACTACCATTGTACCCGGGCTTTGTAGATATTGCGTTATTTTAAAAAGTGTTTACAACTTGATAATTTTATGAATAAAATATAAACATTCTTACGAGAGCTTTTTATTTTTTGTCTAATCAATCGACTACTACTGTCTAAATGAATTCACATATATAATCCGTGTTTGGAGGGGTGAGGGTAAGACCGACGTTACCCATGAGTTCTTCTTCTGTTGGCGGTGGGTTCGCTAGACGAATCTTCACATTTCGTAGGAAGCGTGTGATTAGACCGACAGATAACATACGGGCTAGCTCGTCGCCGGGACACATTCGCTTACCTGTGTAATGAAAATTAACGTTATTAAATTTTAGACAATTAACTTAATACAAATACATTTTAAACAAAACAAATCCGTTTTTATAACTATTACTGTACTAGTTGAAAATTATATACCAAGATAACTTTAAACGTTTTAAAAAAAGCGATAATTTTTTGTGTTTGTTATTTGCGCCTTTGTTTGTCTTATATTTTTTTTTAAGATTCAATTAAAAAGTTAAGATCGATTTTAGATTGTTTATTAGAACATTTTGCGACACAGGCAGGACCTGAAACGGCATTCACGTTACCAATTGTTGAAAAATTAAAATTGTTCATGCACCTCTCGCGTTATTTTTAAATCCTGTCCGTGTCGTAATTTTTATTAGTCTGAAATCAGTTTTTAATTTATATAATGCAATCATAAACCGTCTTTAATTTACGCGAGTAGTAAACATTTAAATAAAACACTTTAACGGTTTAAAACGTGACATATTAGTTAAACTAATTTGAAAATGATTTTTAACTTCGGCCCGACGTTTCGGATGCTTTGCAGCAGCCATGGTCACGGGGAGACCACAATGCAATGCGAAAAATGTTATACAAAACATGTTTACAAAAAAAATATATTAAAAATATGAAATAAGACTGGCCTGTTTGAAAGGGAATAAATTCTTGTGGTTTTAATAATTTTCCTTCATCATCTAGGAATCGCGAAGGCTTATATTCATCTGGATCTTCCCATACACTCGGATCTGTGTGGACGGCCCATTGCAAGGGAACAACCATAGTACCTTTAGGTATTCTGTAATCACCTAAATAAGTTTCCTAAAATACACACATTTAAAGAAAAAGTAAAATAAAAATAAAATATTAAGCCACAAATAAATACTTTTAACCGTTTAGTACACGAAATATATTAGTTAACCTATTTTTAATCAATTCTAACTACGTCCCCAGACATGACGACTGCTGCAAAGAATCTGAAACTTTAAAGTCTCGAGTAAAAGTAACTATTATATTTCGCGTTGTACTATATACAGACAATACTCAAAGTATTGTTGTCTGTCTCAGCGAGATATTTTTGTCTGTAATGGAAAAACACAAACGACTAAGCAATAATTATTATTATTGTACGTAAACGAAGCCTAAATTAACTATATTCAATTTAAGATACAACAATTAAGTCTTAGGAAATGCAGATATTATACAAACACTTCTAGAATACGTAATATAACAATATTCTAAAATATAATACGCACATACTAACACTAATTGCATAATAGTACTACTAACTGATCGAAAAAAAAATGAACCTGCGTGCATCCATGGGGTATTCCAACAGGCACGATAGACCGTACACGTTGGGTTTCGCATATCGTAGCCATCAAATAAGGTAACTTAGTGCTATCTATTATATCAGATTCGCCAGGACAAGCGGTAAGAATTTCTTGACGAACGCGTTCCTGTAACAGTACATAGTTTAAAGTCATCTCCTACAAACGCCTTATATAAATTTGCTAGATGTCCCAGCTACTTGCCTCCGCGAAGAAAAGTTATTATGGGCTTAAAAAAATGTTTTTGCAAGTCTCTTTCTCAACGTCAGTTATTGCTAGTAAAAATTAAAAGAAAGACTTACTTAAGAATACTGTCGGGGATATGTTTTAGATCATTTAAAAAGGAATCACATATTTTTTTGGGAATCGTGAAATGTTTTCGCGGCGCACGCAACGGAGACCTAAATAAAAAATTCTCCCATTATTTTTTTTTTCACATTTCCCACCGTTTCTTCTTCTTCGAACCAGTAGTTCCTGAGACTAGCGCGCTCGAACAAAAAAAAACTTATAATACTAAAAAAAAATGTATAAAAAATCTTTACTTGAACTTCTGGGTACAAGGCCATGTATAAAAAGAACCAAGCTAAGGTGACCGAGGTAGTATCAAGACCGGCACCAAACATATCCGCTAAGAGGAACAACAATTGTTCATGTGTCATATATTTAGATGAATCCTCGTCGTCATCAAATCGTCTTTTTTGCTCCTTAAGAAAATTGTCAAGAATGCATTCGTCCTCCGAGGCGTGAAGAACATTTGGGTCAAAAAAGTGTTCTTCAATATTCGCCGAGTGTTTACTGTACGTAATGCATCTAATATGTCCTTCAGGGTGTTCGTCGAAGAGATTTTCGTGTGCTTCATATTTTGCCTTTTCAGGCTTTTCGATGCCGATCATTTTACGTCTCCTTTCGATAATGCTTGCGTATAGTCTGTGGGTCTGGGCTTGACCACGAGTTAGAACTTCCATCGTTACTTTAATTGACGGTAATATGAATCTTTAAAAAAATATCTCTTTAATCAATATGAATATAAAAATTTTGACAAGTTCGATTTTGTAATATTGCAATGTACGGGTTATACCTTTGTTCGATCCTCATCAGGTCCAACATGTTTGTAATCAATTGTTTTTTTTTAAACATGTTGGATAGTTTGAAAAACGGGATATTTAATAGGTGGTAGGAATATCGAAATTCCGTTCGGGTCACGAAGCACCGTTCACAGATGAAAAAGGAAATTTAATCGCGTTTCAGTCTGTGGATTTACGAATGTTTATAGTCATGCTAGTATTATAAAAAATATATATATATTTACCAAATAAATTCAGGGTCGGATTTAGGGGAGGGTTACCGCCCCGAGTTCACCACAAAAGCGCGGCTCACAATAGAGATTCAGAATTGTTTATTTTGATTCCGACTAAACAACTTTACACCAAACAGATTCTGTAATAGCTGTGACTGTTATTTCAAAATCTATTTGGTTACATTTTAAATTATTTATCTATTCAATTTAAATATTCGACTGCTAAAAATTGTTTTATTTGGAAAATATTTGGGGCCAGGGGGCCACCACTTTTTTGCTGCCCCGAAGCAAACCCCTAAATCCGCTCCTGCCAATAATATCTATATGTTTTAAGTCACTTCGTACTTTATATATAGGGTATATATACAAGCCACTACATAAATTGTAGAGCTAGTTATTGTATGAATATATAATTCGAGTGGGAAAGAAAAACATACAGACAATTGGGGATAAACAATAAACATATACAAATGTATAATTCAGAGTAAGAACATATAAACTACTAATATAAGAATATGATCTTTACCGTAGAAATGGTAGAAAGTTAACAGCTCCCGCTACACCCATTTCATGGCATCCTTCTTCCTGAATTTGTCTAAACCAGTTCCAAGTCTTGTCATTTGGTGGAAATTTGTAACCGAATATAATGTCATTGATGACGTTACCAAATGAATTTGTCACCAATTCAGGCAGCCTTACCGGTCCTTCTGCCCTTTCTTTAACATTCTAAAATACATATTTTTAATATTAATTTGACAACCCTGAATTATAAAAGAATAATATAACTGCATTTTTTATATAGCACGAAGTTTTTCATTTCCCGCTAAAGGTCGTTTCTGCAATGAAGACCACTTTTTGCACTGAGTGTACAAAAAATATTGTTGGAGAAGTAGTATGTTTTTTGTCATCTCGGTAAATATTGAATATTGGGTAACAAAAGGCTTACGCAAGATGATATGTGAAAACTTTTGTCAAGAAATAACATGTATGGATGGAATACTGTCTGTAGTTTACAGTAGAAAACGTTAAAATAAAACACATTTACTATTTAAAACGCGAAATATATTAGTTAAACTTGTTTTTTGACAAAAACAAATTATTTTTGACTGACATTAGAGACAACCTCCATATTTAGTCTTCCCGTGACCACGGCTGCTGCAAAAAATCCGAAACCGCGGGCCGAAGTTGAAAATAATTTATTAACAAGTTTAAGTAATACATTTCGCGTTTTAAACCGTTAAAGTGTTTTATTAAATAAAAATATGTATATAGCCCTAATATTTTACTTTGAGTAACTCGTAGGCTCCAGAAGCGATCCTCTTCTCCAACTTATCACGAGCCAAGCTGTGTTTACTCATACCGAAACTTTTGAGCCAAGACGTTATCAGTTTCCGTTGATCTTTCCACAGCGCTCCTTCAGCACAAATGATACCTTCAAGGCCAACAATTAGCATCATGAATAAATGCGAGAGGCATTTTAGTTATCTGATCGTGAACTTACCGTTGCCCTTCATGATGCCATGTGTCAAAAATAACGGTGCCCGTCCAGAGAAGCAGTCCTTCGAAAAAGCCTCCCTGATTAATTTGTGATCAGAAAGAACAACAGCAGGTATACTGCCCATGGTTATAGAGTAGATAGGCCCGTATTGCCTTGCCAGCTTCGTCAAGGTTATGTGTGGTTGTTTCCGGTCGAAGTACGGTAGATACCCAACGATCGGCAAGCCCCAAGGACCAGGAGGAAGATCCTTCCATTGCTTAATTTTTTTATTTATCCAAAACCCTAGCACGAAGGTCACTAGCCAAAGAAACAAAAAGTCCATGTTGTCTAAAATGAAAACAAATTTATAAAAATTTAAATTATGATATTCATTTTAACGATCGAAATCGAATGTACTGAAACTTTATTCTTTTCACATATTGTAACATGATTTATGTATAGTGGAATTTAAGATTGAAAAATTTCCAAAATTTTTCTTTGTAAGAACGACGAAAGACTTGCGTAAGACAGTGGATATGGGTTCGAATCCGGCGCATGTCATAGATTCATGCATACAAAGATAAATCGTTATCATTTAATAAACCAAAATGTAACCAAAAACATTATATAGATACAAGTCTTAATATACTTATCCCGATTAATATTCTGCTATTGTAAAAAATACAAAGATATTTATCTAATACAAATTGCTCAAAGTGTATAATCGTTAAAATAATTATTTATCAAGATAAACGCACATCGTTACACGCCATAAAATAATGTAAGAACGTAGTGATATTTATATTAAAAGACTGTACGATAAGTCATGCCATCCGAAGCATGATAACTTTTGATTCATCTTATCTGTATACGGCGCAATCAGTGCTACCAATATACAAAAAACATGCGCGTGAGTATGACGCATCTAGACTACAACAAAATGACAAGTCCGTTTACGGTAAGCGCCGGATAATTCTTGCTCATTTGTACAGGTAGATGTAATTATAGTGGCATACCTTGTTAGACGGCTGTAGGTGATCTTGGCAATTGTGATGTCACACTTAAATGAAACTGGAGACTTGCGAGAAGCGATAATGACATTACAGAATTTAGACTACTAGTCACGTGGCCTCGCGGCCGTCGACTGAAGCTGTCAAACGGACAGTCAGTTTTACCTGAATGTTGATTCGTAATACAAACATGTAAATTTGAAACTGAATCCTGTAGATGGTTCCAGGTAGAATTATAATTTACAATAAGCCATAGCGGCAGGGTCGCGATTAGGTTTTTAAATGCCTCTGACATCGTTGACAAGCGTAATCAGAAACTTATATCTATTTATTACTATGATGGTTTATTATCTTGTGCGTGGGACTGTTTTCTCTATCTGAGGCATTGGTTAGACATTTTCTGTATCTGTTTCATGGGGCGATTTTATTTACAGGTTAAAAGCTTATCACACTCCTCTATCCTAAACTGAAACTTTGGAATAGAATTTGATCTCACGACTGCGCACAGTAAAAAGTACATTTTTTAAATCGTATATAATTCTAGATGAAGGTCCTTCGTTATTACTCTATTAACATATTCACAAACAAGACGTATGTACGTCTGTGTAACACATAATAAAACTACAATTGAAAGTCTGTCTGTCTGTAAATGACTATGAATCATGTGAGCAATAAATAAAGTTTTTGTCTAAAAATAGTCTAACTTAAAAGAATGCACCAAGAATTACTATTTTTTGTTAACTAAAAATGTAGACTCGAGTTATGCAGACATGGCAGTTGTTCCATTGTTTTGTTGCAGACACAAAAACAGTGACCCAAATAGTTTCTTTGAATTAATAAGTGTCTGCGACGGACCCTTTGCATCTCTAGCGCTCTGCTATACGGAGCTATATTTTACTCTAACTTTATATTCTGTATATGAAAGTAATCTAATTTGGAGTTTTTACATTTAAATTGTGAAAAGGATTTTTAGAAAACTTGACAAGGCTGTTTTAAAAAAATATGTTTAGATTTAAAGTTTTGTAAGCAATAATTGACGTTGAAATATTTTGTTTATAATACTCATGTTAGCTTTTGAGTAACATTTACTAACTTAATTGAAAATAAGCTATCCACGGCTTAGCTAGCTAGTTAAGGCTTAGTTGGACAGATTTTTTTAATGATTTTACTAGGTCTTTAAAAATGTATTAATAGCAGTCATAAAGGAGAATTTAATTAGTTAGAAATATACGTGATGTCTTATAGCCTTCCTTTATAAATGCTCTAACACATAAATAAATTTAGTTCCTGAGATTAGCGCCTTCAAACAAACAAATTCTTCAGGTTTATAATATTTGAATAGATTTGTTAATTGTTTAAACCATTTTTAACCAGAGCATACGTGATTTATTCTTCAGTTTAAACGAATTTCGTGCTTTTTAGCCTTCATTGACCGTTTATCAAGCTTTTGCTTAACAATTCATGGCATTTAAAATCGTTTAAAGTAGTTAAAAGTTAAAGAAATGACTATTCCAACTGGTAACAGATTAAGTGAATATTAGTACAAACCGTATAATCGTTTCGTATTTAAGGCGAGTCGTAATAAGTCGTAGTTTATAGCTGTGCTTGTTAGCTTGGTCAGCCTGAGACGGACAGCGAGGTCGAGCAGTCGCAAGCGCAACTCGAAGTGTGAAGGCCGGTCAGCGGCCGAGCTCTTATCGAACCAATAATAACCGCTCTTAACGCATCGATAGAACACAATGCTCATAAGCTTATCCACGTGCGGAAGATCATTATATCCCCAGTATTACAAATGTATTATACGCAGGCAAGTATTTTTTTACGTAAATGATAAAACGGTACTCTGTAGTTCAGTGGTTAAAAGCGTTGCCTTTCCATTGACAACCAGATATCCTATATAAATTAAAACATATTTAGTTATTAGTACCGCACGTCTCGTACATTTTTACAGTCGAAATATATTTTTAGTTCATATAATCATTCGAAATTTTTTTAACGTAGGGTTCTGGTTCGAATCCCAGAGGATGCATAATTATAAGCTGTGGTTGAACAGGCAAACTTATGTTACGTCCTAATGTACGATGCCGCATATGCGCTTCAGAAGATACGATATTTTAAACACACCTATTGATTAAAAGGGGACTTGAATCGAATATATATAATTATAATTTATATTTCGATAATTGATCGAAAGCTAAATAAAATTATAATAAAGTAACTTATTTTGTATTAGATAAAAGTTTGTTTAAAACAAATAGCAGACTTTTCATGAATTCAATATTATAAAACTTTATTTTGTATTGGAAAAATGCGTAGAAAATAAAATGTTAAATGTAGTGTTACTTGCCCTTAAACAAAATATACGAAAACAAATAAGCGTTTTTCAAAAAATATGCCATTTTAAAAATATAATAACATTCTTTATAATTAAAAATTATAATGCTAGACCACGAAGATCGTAACTTCTTCGGCCCTGATAAACTTTAGGCACTTTAAAACGCGAAGCATTCATTTGAGTGATTGCTGACATTAAACTGGTTATAAACCCCGAGATAAAAGACTACAATGTAATTAAGATGCTAAAATTATCCTTCATTACCTGCACGCTGATATAAATCACGTTGCTGGCTTAAAAATACAATTTTATTTGGCGTGGGTATTTTTATAACGAATGACTGTTTCATAAAATTCAAATAAATTATCATATTTCATTCAACAATTGTTGTTAACAGTTCCGAGTAAGAAGTCAGGAGTCGAAGCTTCAACCATAGCTTGCTATGTTCTGAACTAAGTAGCAAGACCACATGCCGCCATAAAGCTTTCCTATCCATTGATACATCTTGCGCGGCAATTACCACGAAGTTCGTTCAAAATAATTGTTACTCAAATACTGTCTGTAGTTTACGCGAGTAGTACACATTTAAATAAAACACTTTAACGGTTTAAAACGCGATATATTCTCGAGGTGACCACGGCTGCTGCAAACGTCGGGCTGTAGTTAAAAATAATTTTCAAAAAAGTTTAACTAAAATATATCGCGTTTTAAACCGATAAAGTGATTTATTTAATTGTTGCTCACTTGTAGAATAACCATGTATCATAGAAAAAAAAATCTCTATTCAAGTTCTGTATGTACAAAGTAAATCTAAAATGCGTTACGCCGTTTAAAAATAGAACCTCGTGACACAAGGTATAATTTTTAACGATACTTTTCCCTCCATCCTCATTCAAGTGCATTACAGTTATACCATCTCTGGAGTCGGTGTTACTGACACAGTGCAAGGCTATAGCGGGGTGGACGCCCTGTTATAAAGGAATCCTTAAATGGTTACTGATCTGCGCCAAACAGGACGAAGCTTACCGCTTTTTCATATTCATTTCAGCAATGCTGTTCTATAATTTACACATTAAGTGAAACAATTTTAAACGCTTTTATTCGTAAATTCGTTTTGAATACTACCTTATCCTGTATAAGCAAATATTTAAGAATACTTTTATAGCAAACACGTAATCACAATTAAATTTGAAAATATTTAATAAAATACCTACTTATTAAAATCCCCTCAGTATTTTAAGCGCTACACTGGAACATACAAACACATACTTACGTAAACAAGATCGTTAACCTCTCCTATGGCTTCGCCGTTGGGTTATAAAACTACTTGTTCGCACGGCGAGTAAGGATCTCGAAGAAGTACCAGTTTGCACCAGCTTAGTGGCCGCGGTCGTCTACTCCTAGCCGGGCCATTGAACGGCTTAGATTCTTTTCCTTTTTTTCAAACTTTACGGTCTGGAATGCCTGAATCCTCTGTGCACTTCTTCCTTCGTTTATTTTTAGTTTGCGCGAAAAATGTCGTTGTCGGGTCATTGCATTGGAGGTGTTTACCCCCAGCCGTTGCAGCTGTTGCACAAATTCGAGAAGGTTCCCGGAATATCCTTGCGCGAATGACTAAGCGTTTTATTTATAGGTTATATGCGAGGCTTAACGATGGTCACTAGATGGTACCGTGGCTCTACGGAACTGTCTAGAATTGCGTTAAGGACGATAGGTTTTGAGTTCGAATCCTGGGGTAAAATATTTAGAGGTTGGATCGACTAAGGGATTGAAGTTAAGTTTGTAAAAGAACTTGTATGTAAAACAGATGCTAAAATGTGTCCGACCTTCAACCACTTAAGGTTGTATCATACAAACTTTGATTCGATTTGTATTTATAGAGCTCTGCTGTTGCCCAGAAGAGACTGCCGGTTACTATGTGTTGTAATACAAAAAATAGTAAATAAATATATTTTGCTCTGTATATAAGTACAAATATTACTCACTTATTAAAAGTTTTTCTTAGTAAATACTGAGTAATTTACAGATAACAGTCACTTAAAAGGCAATATCATTATGTCGGTTAAAACCATATAATCGCGAGTATTTTAACACAAATTAAATTAAACATTACAATACAGCTTTAATAGTATTCAGAAGTGCAGTACCGGGTCATTGACCTTTGACAAGTGAAGGGATCAGAGCTGACTTTACATGTATTTTTCCATAATTGTTTCAGAACATTTATACAATTTATAATAGAAATTTTTTATATTTAGAGATTTAATATATGTATATTAAAATATTTTTTTATTAAAATAGGTTCTTTTAGAATGAGGTGAATGTAAAAAGTAGAACTTCGTAATATAATAATAAATAAATTTAAAAAATATTACAAATTTCAAACGTGATTAAAAAAACATCTATGATACAAAATGTATGTGTCTTAACATTTTTAAATCTAGAAAAAATATATTTTTAATTTAGTTAACTTAGTAAACTAAGTTATGCGATGTCAAATCTTTTTAGTGATTAACCCTTATAATTTTCCACTGGCGGAATACTGTCTTCATATCTACTTAACTAAATGGCGAAATGTGTGTTGGCAGACAAAATTTTGAGAACATTCTCCTTGGTAAGATAGCTTTCAGGTTCTTCTTAATCTATCGTCTCTGTTGATTTTAATCTTTTTCTCCACCGTACAGGTGAAATAGCGATTTTAACTTTTAATATGGAAATGTAGATAAAAAAAGAATTAAATATGCTACAAAACTTCTGAAGAATTTTGCCCAGAAAACTACTCACGAATACCGAAAATGATCTATTTGGAGAGGTACCTCTAAAACTAATGGGACGAATGGTATGCACAAATTAGGGTCAAATCTTGTATGTTGGTCACACGCACGAGTGCCTCCCAAACTATGAATATTAATATGATAAACAAATGACCATCGATAATAATTATCCCTCTTATTTTAGATATTTTTATATATTCTCTCATTGACTTCGCATTTATTTTGTTTAGTGTTATACCATTTAACACACTAGCTATACCGTGTCTAATGTAGGATGAATAGTATTTCTTAAAAGTGCAAGTTATACCTATTGTATTAAATTGTCGATCAAAACCTATTTAATATTGCAAATCAATACAAAATGCAACTAAATTATTTTGTATATAAATGTATATGTGTTATTAATTAATTTTTAATATTTAGTATCGTGTCTGTCTATCGATTTAGTTTTTTTAGTGTTTGATTAATTCATTTATGTTTAGTAGTATTCAAAGATACATCAACAGATGTATAGATAGAATCGAATCACAAAAGAATAATCTTTATATAGTGTTGCATTTATACTTGAGTTGGTCTAACGTGTCATCCTATATAAGACAAGCTATAATTTAAGTATAGAAATGCATTGAACGTGACATTTCGCATAGTGGTCTATAAAAGCCGGGCAAGCTTAACTTGGGTTGTGACAAAGCTTTCATAGCCACGACGACATATTAAACATCAAGGTTATCGTCGTTTTTTTCTATTTTAAGTTGCTAAGTCGTTTACATATTTTTAATATTTTATTGAAATCTGCGTTTTATCCTTCGTTTTGGAAATAAGTAGACATTTGTTACCAACCGGTAGTGGAACAGAAATTAAACGGAATACTTTAAAACAGGTATTTTGCTACTTGGAGGACGATAACTTGAGCAAACTTTATATTTATATATTAATATCTATACTAATATTATTGTTTGTTTGTTTGAACGTGCTAATCTCACAAACTCATATTGAAGAATTGAATGTGGAATAGACCATATATCGAGCGACGAAACAGAAGGAAATGGGCAAAAAATAAAACGGGGAAAATTCATCTTTGTTTCAAATTCATAGCGGTGCGTTTGCACCGCGAAAATAATGCAAGACTCCCAAACACTATATCCGCAATAAATGTTCTTCTTTTAATACCTAAAACAATTTATCGACAATATAAAACTCACAAAATCGTTTTTACGGGAATCAAACTTCGTTGAAGCATTGAAATGGCAAAAGAACATCGCCAGGTCAGCTAATAAGTTTATATTTGTGTTAACAAATGTAATATATAAATTTATTTAGTAATAACATTCTGCGAGCACTACCCAAACGCAATTCTAAAATTTCGGTAACTTCGGCCCGTTAAAATGTAATGTGTGTACAAGAAAGTTTCGCTTCGTATCGGAGTGGGCCAGCGGGGACTGACAACGGCGACGCCATGTTTACAAACAATGGGATCAACGCACCCCAAGTAGGTTAGCGCAGCAACGGACGCTGTCACCAGCGCCGCTCCATGTTGCGCGGGTCGTGGTCTTGCCTCCAACCAAATATCATATTAATTAGACGCAATTCACACCGACTCAACATCTGTGTGCCCAAAACACGCCTCGCTCTTTTGACAGCTGCTAAATGACATAGATCGTTGACCAAAGCTCTTGAACGACAACGAGTTTTCTCTATATTTAAGTAGGTACGCTTTAATATACCCGCTAGTAACTATTCAATGATAAAACTATTGTTAAGCCTTTTAAAGATAGAGACAGATAAGTACGGGGTTCACTTTATATAAAGTGAAAAATGCGCTGTTGGCCTATTTTGACGTTGAATACTCGCAAATCCACAGATTGAAAACGAAATGCGTTTAAACTATGGCTTTTGCATCTGTGGATGGTGATTTATGGACCGGATGAATATCTAGATTTCTAGACAATGTCTAGCTTTTTTCAGAAAAAATATGAATTGACAGCAACACCTGGACCTGAGGCATCGAACCCACAACCCTTTGGTAATTAGCCATACATTGCTACCATACGACTAACGAGCTCGTCAAATCTAGTCTTCCCTTTTACCAAACATACAAGAAGTGAAATGTCAATCTAACCAGTTGAAATCTCTTTAGCTAGAATACCCCATGATGACCTACAAAGACATACTGAATGGTGAATAATATCGTGGTCCTATTTCCTTAAGTGCACGACTATTTGACTTGACATAGTTCGCTCACTACAGTAAAGTTTCACCGAAGGAGAAATTTACTATATCTAATAACTTCTACATCCGTCTATGCAGATTTCCAGAGCAAAGCTCTATTGAGAAGTCGATGACCTAAATTCAATACGAAATCGTTGGTTTATTTGGTATGTTTCGTTTCTCTAGTTTGCTATTCCTTATCTGTGCTATAAAAACATGACATTTGTAATGGCCAGTATTAAATTTTAAAAAGAATGTACTAGTTCAAATGAAAAATAACGAATGCAAATTGATAATTCGTTACTTATACTCGTAACTATATTTTTTTTAATTTTACTTACTCAGTGTGTACGTAATTAAATCAACTATAATGACCCAAAGTGTTGGTCAAATATAACATCGCACTAAACACACACCCATCTCGATTTCATTGAGTGGCAAGAAAAACTTGCACTAGTGTTACGTTAGAAAGCGTAGACATTTCACCATGAAGCTTAGAAAGTGTTGATAAGAAGAAAGTGAAGAAGTAGGGGAAAAAAGTGCAATGAATGCACCGACGAACGCAATAAGACACAATTACTCCAAGTCAATGCAGTTTTCATTCAAATTAAACATGCAGTTCGATCAGACGATATAATGATCTGGTTCGTTTGACCCGTTCTTTAATCCAAGATTGGGTCATAAAATTTTGAACGCAAAATGAATGCATTTGTTTTTTTTTTCAGATAGAACGAAGTATTTTGAACGACGAACGAATTACTAACGGTTCATTTCTAACTTGAAGATCTGGTTCTTTTCGTTGGTTCGATCGTGAATGACGCATTTATAGAATCCTTATTACTTTTTCTCCCTACAAGAGATAGCAACGCGTTCACTTACATTTCACCGTGCACGTTCGTCTAGTTTATATTTTTATCGCAGCAATTATTTTTACTTTCTTTTCGCTCTTCATTAATAGAAAATTTATACTTGACTGAAAAAATTACTTCGCTTGTGAAAGACACTTGTGCAAATTTAACGTAAGTATTTTTGACTAAGATGGCAATGACTATATACATATTATGGGACTATTCTATAATACAATGAACATTTGCTACAATATATATTTGGTTTATGTTAAAATATAATAAATATTCTTGTACGGGTCGGTACATTTTCTTAATTAATTTATTTTATTTACTTAACAGTTCCTAATTATTAAAGATATATAAGATAAATATAATTGTAATAAATCAATAGGATACAAGCTTGACTTGCTGGAAATTGCCTAACAATTTATTTACCAATATATATAAAAATTAAGTAACTAAGAAAAAGAATTAAATAAAAAAATATGATCCAAGTGCGTGTGTAAGTTTAGTTGGACATAGGGGTCCAAATAAATAAACAGCGTGTCATGTTCCTACAAATAGCGCCTGTCTAGTATTATCGTTCAACATACTTTTTAAATCGAGTGATTAGTTTTCAATTCAATCACAAAGGCATTTTTTATGATTTCGTTCTGTGCCGTATAAATAATAATGAGCGATGTATATGCAATGTTCAATAACAATCTCACTATGAAAGTGAAACGGAAACGTGGTTCATAGCTTAGACACAATTTTCTTCGTTAACCACGCATGCGCATTGCACACGCACACAGATGCACGTTCGAGATGATTTACGCGCAGCTCTTGACTCCTGCAAAGTGAATAAACTGTTGAAGAAAAAACCGGACTCGTTTTATTTGATATTTTAATGACAGTTTCTTACATGTCAGTTCCGTTAAATAGTTCGGATACTAACATGCAACCTGTTGGCTCTCGAGAGAAATTAAATATCACGTGTGGCTCTCTCATAGAGATTAGAGATGTATAATTTATCACTTATCAGTCAATTATGTGTTTATTATGCGACTCTACGTACTTCATGGCAGTTTTGTGCTTTGGCCTTGGTCAGGGGGGCAATTCTAAAAAAAGTGATTTGACAATTTTGTTATTTTGTTACGAATTTGCCGTTTTAACGCTTATCTAATTTTGTTGACCGTCACAATACGTTAGTACGATAATTAAATATCAATTTATTATGAAACTAATGACTGAATTAAGGTATTATAAAAACTGTACCAAAACTGAGCGCTAGTGAGAATTGCCCCCCGACCGCGAAAGCCGTTGCCAAGTGGCGACGAGAGAAAGAGTGTAAAAGAGAGATGTAAGCATTTCACCGCGCGGGGTCAACGCGCTCGTACTGTCGCTGATTGTGCCCTAATTGCAATATGTGGGTCTAGGCCGGCGTTCGTCGACCCGCGCGACACACTTCGCGGCCGCGGTGCTTTCACGCCCAGCGCGCGGGGAAAACGGTGGGGGGCAGAGATCGCAGAAAGCGATGGAAAATTAATACACGGCGCGGATGGGATCACGTTTCGACGAAAGTTTTCCGCCACGATACGAATGTCGTCGGCTCCGAACAATAGAGAGAGGAGGTGGAGGATGGCGGGCTATATCAACGGCTCGTGCATCATTTTAGTAAATTTTAGACTCTAACATCTAAGTGGTAGAAATATAAAGAAACCATCGACATCATTTTCAATGTGTGGATATCCAAATGTCTAAATTCTAATACTTTAAGAAGTCTTCAACGCAGTGAAACGCAGTGAAACGCATACAGACAATAGGAATATAGAAGAAAAGTAAGTTGCCCGTTACGAAGTATTTCGCGTTTTGAAATTCTACACGCTTAAACTACGGACAATACTTAAATTGAAATTAAAATAATTTAATCCACACTTTGGTGTGAAGAATATACATACAGAAATTATATAATGATTTGAGAATATACATAAATTGTATGAAATACACAAATTTTTTGCTGTGGAAGGACATCACTCAGCCATTACTAATTGTACGAATTATCTTAATCTCATCAAAACGTCTGTCATATATAAAAATCTGGGAGAAAGAGCAGTATACATCTTAAATGTATTATAAGTCAATATTGCGTAATTCATTATAATTTTTACTTGCCATTGAAAGTTTCGATGAAAATTTTAAAATTATTTTACATAAACAAAAAGGATTTGAGTCCCAAAACTCCAATTAAATTGATGACACCAGGGTTATTGTCATGATCATTTTGACAGACTCAGATTGATTTTACGCCATCGCTTATGTCATTAATTCGTAATGATTCTTAGAAGTCTCACGGAGGTAATAAAAATAATGGCTGTTTTTACTTGACACGCTAACCCTCATTTATTTCGGCTCAAAGATCCATACAGACCGTTTTTATCTCCTCTCAAGTACGTCCTAAGTCATGAGTCACTTTAATCGTATAGTTACTTATTTTCAATACACTACGATATATTTACGTCATTCTTATTTTATTTGCTTATTCTTTTTTTCCAGTTTCTTAGTAAAGTACTAAGTATACCCTACTGATTTCAAATGAGAAAAATCAACAGCGACAACCATTAAAACCAGCTCCTAACACAGTATGTATAGTTATATAGCGATAGGTATGTCAAGTGGCATCATTTGAAATATGAAAAATCACTAGTACGTGCATAATTATTGCGATGCAGTTTTTAATTAAGGCTTAAATCTAAGAGTCTTCACTCTTAATTATTGCAATTTTAATGATAACGAAATATCGCTATGCAGAGAAGTGGAGAAGTAATTAAAACATCTTAATTATTTACTATATTGCTTACTCTACGCCGATCAAACTTCAGGGTTTTTTCCTCTATAGTTTACGCGAGTAGTACATTAAATAAAACACTTAACGTTTAAAACGCGATATAGTAGTTACACTTATTTGAATGATTTTTAACTTCGGCCCGACGTTTCGGATGCTTTACAGCAGCCGTAGTCACGGGGAGACACTCTCCTCATCATTTTGAAATAAGTTTAATTAATATATCGCGTTTTAAACTGTTAAAGTGTTTTATTTTAATAGGCAAAGAATTGGTAATTTCTGCGACCTGCCTAACGGCAGACATTTATTGTGTTTTCTGGATTCGAACTACCGGGCATTTTAATCTATAAGTCAAACCTTTTGTTATCTTTGTTGTAAATAAAGTGGTGTTGAATGTTTAAATAAAACACTTTACGGGTTTAAAACTCGAAATATATTAGTTAAACTTATTTAGAAAATATTTTGACTTTGCCTTTGACCTGGCGGGGTTGGAACCCACGACCCATTGATTAGTCATACATCGCAACCATTAGACCAGCGAGCCAAGCTTTCACCAAAGGTAAATAATGTAATCTACGTAAAACCGTTACCCATATACCGTAGTACTATCTCGCCTCATTATCAATGCCGAAAACCCTTGCGCACGCGTCGTAACGAGTGGAAACGCCACTTAATTAAGCACAGTGGGCCGGCCATCGAAACTAATGCATAGCTAGATAAGAGACAGTTGTTAGCTTGGAGAGAACAAGGTCGGCTGATGTGGAGCAAGGTCAGAGTCGACATCGAGTGATAGCATGAGTATGACCTCTACGTTCATTATCGCTTCGATGGCAAACGTCAATTGTTCATGGTACATGTGTGAGGCCGCTAGAACCAGAGTGGCCTAACTGCTTTTAGGACTTGAGTTATTTATATTTTTATAGTCTAAAAATGAAAATCTACCAATCTCTACACAGTGACCGAAAATTTTTACTTAAATAATAGTACAAATTCATATTCGCCTAAGCCGAAATCAGTTTTTTTTTGTTATTAGGTCCCTCTGCCCCTAACAGGCTCATATCTAGACGATTGTATTAAGAGTAATTCCGTGTACCCTATACATAAGTATACCTACCCCGTTCCTGATGAATCCTATTTAAATGATCTAAAGAAATGTCCTGGACAGTATGTGTCTTGATTGTATTGAAATTTGGTCAATATGAATGCGTTATTACCAATTATTATTTCTATCTATACTACCTTCGTCTCGGAAGCACAATCTAATGTGGTCCTATTGTAGTAAATTTAATATCTGCTCTGAAATGAAATAAGAAAACAAATTGTTTAAAAACGTAGCTTTCAAAAATTAAATTGAATTATACACATATTTTTATACTAAAAATATGTGTATAATTAAATTTAATTTAGATTCTAGGCTAAGCGACACCACGAAGTTCCCTATTCATACTTAGTAATGATATTTGTATAAAGGTCTTTCAGCGTCGCGTTAAAATAAACTGGAGCGTATAAAATACGAGAGACTATAAAAAGCGCTGAAGTACGTGTTTTTTCCGTTCTGTATTTCTCTATTTCTTTGCAATTAATGAATGTTTATATGAAAAGTAATGTTTTTTATACATTGATCATTGAAGTATTAATGAAATGTAGCCTAAAATACCTTATAGAGTGGAAATTTAAAATCTATTTAGATTTTTAAAAAATACGACACGGGCGGAATCTGAACCGGCATCCATTTGCATTGCTCTGAAAAGTTGCTGTGATTTTTAATCTATATAATTTACTAGCTCTGTCAGCGACTTCGTCCGTGTAGAATAGTCATTTTGAGCATCAACTTTGCCCACTACCCAGTCGCGTCCCGTCGTTCTTGCAAGTTAATCTTAAATGATAGACATATAGCGTCGCGGTCTTTTTTTAGAAAATTTAAAGAGAATTCATTCTTTCATACATAGTTTCTTGTGTATCTTGATAATGATAAGTAACTTCCTCCCTTTCTTCCCACATTATCCGCTGTTTATTTGCTCTAATTAGTCACATCACGATGTGTTATAGCCTATAGCCGTCGTCGATAAATGCTCTACCCAAACACAAGAATAATTTCTCAATTCGAACCAGTACTTCGTGAGATTAGCGCGTTCAAACAAACAAACTCTTCAGCTTCATATATTAGTATAAATAAAATATTAAACTTTACAAATATAGTAAAATATCTAGAGGGTTCCACCTCTATTGATCCGGGTTTAGCCAAAATACTCTTTCACAAACCGTGCCTGTATTTTTAAACTGCATTAATACTAATGTTGGCTTCGCTCGGACAAAAAGAAACTGTCATGATAATTGATAGCCCATTCGCTACACGTTTACAATTAAAAGAGGTCCGAATAAGCAGGTGCAAGGGAAGTGTACTTCAAGGAAACATGAAACCATTCTGAGAACTCGTTGTGGGAATATAATTTATCTCTCTATTATTAAGTATTCAATGTGCCTCGAGAAGCGTGTGTGTACGACAACATCACTATGTACTCTTAAACTACTTTTTGTTGCCTTCGGCGTTTGATACGGTGGTGTACATTCATCTAAATATAACGCGGACAATACTCATAAATTCATTAAGCTAACCCGTTTCAAATGTTTAAATAAAACACTTTTAAAGTTTAAAACTCGAAATATTAGAGAATTTTAATTACGGCTCGGCGTTTCAGTTCCTGCGGCATTAGGGACGAGCTGCGAAGCAACCGAAATGTCGGGACGTAGTTAAAAGAAAAAGTATCTAATATATATCGCACTTTAAACCGTTAAAGTGTTCTATTTAGATAATACTACGAGTATATTTGAATATTTTCTTCTTATCATCTTAATTTATTTCCTATAAGTAAAGTGATCTAGATATTAAATTTTTTAATTCCAATAGTTGAAGCTACGTTATCCTTATTCTATATCCTTCCTCAAACGAAATTACAAAAAGTCCCGATACGTCTTACGATATCACTATAAATAGTCCTACGGTAGGTACTTAAAACCCTTAAGGATAACAGTCATCGGCTAGGCCCGTGAATCAATGAGTCATACTTCAAGGTATTGGTATTTTCTCAGAGCAGCCGCGTAGCAACAAGATAAAAATGCGGTTTAATAGCTATACATAACAAGTAAAAGATTCAAAGTATACATTCAAGTTCAATTCAATACAGCAATAATAAATAGTTGATCTTCAAACATTTAGCGAGTTACTAGAATGCGTAAAGAATAAATTTAACTCGAATTTATTAAAACAGATATATTCATATGTTTAATGTTTTACAAGCTCAATGTAGCAATGTATTTAAATCAACGGGTCGTGGGTTCGATCTCCATCGGGTCCAACATTCATTTTTTTTAATTTTTCTGATACATTCAACCACTTAGTATCCAGATTTCCTGACGAATTTTGGTAAATGAAGGTGGTAGGAATATGAAAAAGCCATTAGTTTAATTTTTCGGTTTCAGTCTGGATTTCCGAATATCCAAAGCCAAAATAGGGCGACAGTGCATCTTCTTAAGCTGTATAAGGCTGGGGTAATTCACCTACCATGAAATGAACCCCGTGGTTGTCTGTCCCCCACTATTATTAATAAATAACATCATTGACTTATATGTAAATTTAAGAGTACAAAACATCAAATGTGTACATGTTCTTATACGGTGAATACTGTCTATAGTTTACGCGAGTAGTACACATTTAAATAAAACACTTTAACGGTTTAAAACGCGATATATCAGTTAAACTTATTTGAAAATGATTTTTAATTTAGGCCGACGTTTCGGATGCTTTGCAGCAGCCATGGTCACGGGGATACTCATTTTCAAATAATTTTAACTAATATATCGCGTTTTAAACCGTTAAAGTGTTTTATTTAAAAGATTTAAGAGTATTAGTTTCATTGCCTATCAAAAGTATAGTTATATACTCAATTATTCAAATATGTAATTATAAAAAAAAAGTTTTGATGTAATATAATAATAATAATAATTAAATAAATATGAAACTCATTTCGGCACTACAGGACATAAATATGTGAGGTAGAAAAGAAAATAGTTATACTGAGATAGCCGGTGTATGGCCGGATAGTCAGAAAAGCTAAGCGAAATTATAATATCTCCATCGTAGTCCATCCGGTGGTTAGCGATTCCGTATATTTCCCTAACTGGTTAGGAGTTGTTAAATTTGCGGTGAAAAGCTTAGTAGAGACTACTACTAGTCTCGTGGAAACCGTGTCATGCCGTGCGTCTCCAAGTAAAAGTACTTTCTTCCAGCCGCTTTCGGAAAGTCGTTTACGAAGAATTTCCTTGCACTCAGCGCTATTGAAAATGTCGCAATGTCGCTTTTTTTGTCCTACGGCGAAGACAAAATACGCTAATAGAACTGAGTGAGTTTTAATTATAGATTTTCATTCAAAATGTAGGTATGTAATAATATGATTTAATTCGTCAAATCGTTAGGAACAAATAAATAATTTATGAGTTCCCGATCACAAATAATATATTTTTCTTGAGATTCAAACCCTGGACCTAGCACGCTTGACGCAATGTAACGCACTATATTCCATCATTAAACCATCTACGCTATTATAGTATATTTTTTTAATTAATATACTGACAACGAAATAAAATTACGAACATAAATCCGATCTTAATTTAAGACAAAATAAAAAAATGGCGTCGATATCGTTTAGAAACGTTGGAGTTTACTTTTGATATTTGACAGTTGGAATTAAGATAATAGTTAAGTAGTGACAAATGTGACAGTTGCAATATAATCTGTGTACAGTTTAAGTTGAGAAATCTCTATAATTTATAATAATATGACGTATGAGAAAAACTTATACATTTATCGATAAGTTATTTTAAAATATGCAAATGTATAGAAAAATTTAATCAAGTGTATTTAAAAGTACTGTCAGCAATTCGTAGAAACATATTAGTTAGCACATCTCATTTCTCATCGATCAGCGTTATTTGTTATTGTTAAAAGTAATGAGTAAGACATTTCTCATATGATACGCGAATTATACAGAAATAATGCATACATAGGGAAGCTAAATAAAATATGTCACGGTTTTCAGATATTTATAAGATTTTAACGCGCATGTTACAGTTATGCTTATATTCGAAAACTTTACGTGGTGGCAGTATATAAATTAAAATTGGTTGTAGATCAAAAACACTGCGTGGCAGTTGCATGTATTGAAAGGTTGAAGAATTTTTGATGATGACGTGAAGGACGCTGTAGCGCAATTGGTTAAAGCAACAGCACGGAAAGTCGTGGATGTTGGTGTATGTCCCGCCCGTTCGTAATTTTTTTCAATCTTAAATCGATTTTTAAGTCATACCTATCAATAAATTCGATAACAAAACACTTTTCACGGTTTAAAATGCTAAATATTTAATTTGTTAAAGTCTATTTTAACTATGGCTCGACGGTTCGGGTGCTTTGTAGCAGCCGTGTTCACGAGGGGCATACAGACAAAATATTAAATGTGATTAGGTATTAAGTAACGGACTTATGTTGTGGTATGAACCGGAATTGCGATCGGAAGTTCAATAGTCGGCCGTGAAAAACATATTTTTATCTTTAAATATCGTATAGTATGACTGACACATGTTGTATACTTGTCCACCAACACGATTTGGACGTCTCACCTGTAGGAAGACTAGAAATAATGATGATTAGGTAAAATTTGTTCTGTACATTTCAGTATATTTATATATGGTTTTAGTTTAACTGTATAACTAATTTTTATAAAGGAAATAAAGATTAAGTAAAGCTTTCTATATTCATTCTTCAGGCTACAGTAAAACTTAAGTTTTAGATAACCCCTTTTCCAGCCATTGCCAGGTTTGTAGAAATTAACACAGAAAACTAGAGCTACTATATATATATTTATATAAAATAACATTCAGGAGAATTTCATATTATATTTGCTGTAAAGCAAGATTTAATATAAGTATTTCATTTAGAACTATTGTTATGGGTATCTCAAAAACAAGACAGAAATAATTTAACTTGACTGGAGTAATACCTATATGAAAGCTTACATATGGTAAGTACAAAGGCAACGTTGGCGGCAGTACGTGCGATCGGCGCTTGCGCATGCCACTGTTGTTCCGCGCAGACTCTCGAGTCTCGGCTCCGTAGTGAATTTCGCCGCTCTCGCCCACTGATCTACATTTCACTACCAATATGGGTCAATAACTGCCCACGCTCAGTTCCTCCGAGCGCGGTCATTCACCTCGCCACTCCAAATCATTGTTCGCCAAATGCAAAGCGTAGCTTGGGGTCGACGACCGGGCCGATGGTGTGGTAGCTGTCACTGCGAGATTTTTCTTCGAATGATACTTGACACACTGTTGTCAGCTCAAAGTATAAACATCCTTTGGCGATACGCTGGGATCGCTGAGTCCTCTATTGTCGGACGACAGATACAAAGTAATTGCATTGAACAAACAGGATGTTTTATAGTTCAAGAAGGTACATAGAATTTCGATCTATAGAGACAAACCCTCGCACGTAAGATCAAATTCAATAGATTCAAATAATATCTAATTTATCACATTTATCTAAGATAGAAAGGAATCTATTTCAAATGAATCATTTAAATAATATAGCGAAATTGGCATACTGACATGTATGCACAGACGTTCGTGGTGTCGGGAGTTCGATGTCCGATTGTTTACTAAACATTTATCTAAGCTATGTGCAACACGTGTAAGGCTAAAGCAAGTCCTCTTATTGTCAAAACTTATTTGGACTTCACGAAAACTTAAGATTATTGTGTCCTAAACGTAGAAACTACTAAAAAACGATGAAACTTATGCTTTAACAATTCATGCATGCATGCATATTTATAGAAAAAAATAAAAATAAGTGCATAATACAAAACGGTTCTAATATTTAAACTATTTTACCTGCATTACAGACACGTGCTAGATATCAATATTCACATCGATGTTTCACTGACAAACAAGTTTTCCTTGTAAACGCACTTTTATATGTATATTTTGGAAAGCTCTCTTTAAAAAAAAATATATTGCTAAGTTTAGACCTAAAAATTTGACCTGGAAAACATATAAATATCGTATCAAAAAGGCAACATTTCGTAGAGAATTTAAATGACTATTGTTATGTATTTAAATAAAACCACTTTAACGGTTTAAAGCTCGATATATATGAAAATATTTAACTAATATATATGTATCGTGTTAAAACACAAACATTTAAATATATAAAATAAATAAAATAAAAAATAACACACAGTACAGTAGATATTGTTAAGTACGTTCAAATACGTTTTTGACATACAGACAGTAGATATTGTTAAGTACGTTCGAATACGTTTTTGAAGTTTGCGCTTATTATTAACCTTTTTCAAAAGTTAACCAGTATTGAATTGTGTGTTTAACAAATTGTCTGTATTGCATTTAAGCAAACAGCACCTTTGCGATCACAATAAACATACAATGCAAACGTTTCACAAGAGTACACACCATGTGGCATTATGTAGGAGCATTCTAGGATGACCTACAAAGCTCCAACTTGTATCACGATTCTCCCCAGGATCAATATACTCCGCTTTCACTATTGCTATAAATTTAAACTTAACATATTCTACTTGTAGAATATCTTGATATTTGTTTCAACCTATTAAATTCAGAATATCGGACACAGATCTCCTCTTGAAGAGTATTGAATATCTTAGACCCATCACACTATCCCAGTGCTGGTAAAAAAGTTTAACCTACTACCGCCACTAAATCAGTGCAGATGACCAGAAACATAGAAGAGCACAATTTTTTTTGTCTTTGATTTGACATTACATCCAACCAAGAATCGTGCGTTTGGTGATTTTAAAGATTTAGAAAAATCCTAAAAAAGCAAAGCGTTACATCGCGTTTTGAACCGTTAACATGTTTTATTTAAATGTGTTCTACTCGCGTAAACCAGGAATAAGTACTTTTGAAACGTGAATAAGTAAATATTTGGGTAGAAGGAAAGTGGCGCGCTGAACGGACGCCTGCCTCGACAGCAAAGTATCACATTGAACTGTTACATAAGGACTCGTTGTGCTTTCGAAAACATTATATTCAACAATTTGACAATTTCTTTGCATAAACACACAGTTGAGTCGAAATTAAATACAACTTTGTACTACACGAGATATTTATTGTACAACCAAACTTAGTTATTTTTAAATACACACTTAAACTACTTATTTCACATTTAATATAGTCTTAAAACTTAAATATGAATATTATTTTTAAATGAGTATTCAAATGTATATGGTACCTAGCGGTATAACGGTCAGCGTCTTTGCAAATTTGTTGCTATGCAATGACGCTTAGACGTCTTAGAGTGAAAACCGAAAAAGAGATGAAGAATATAAATTACAATTATTGTTTGATGATTAAGAGGTGTTTACTTATTTTTCTAACTCGTCCAACTCGTCCATCTTCTTCGAAATCTTAATAGGCCAGTCCAGACTTTGAAGCTTTGAAAGACTAATTAGTGCCCATTTTTTAAAAAATGTCCAATAAGGTTTTTTAGAAAGCAGTTACAACTCTAGATAAACATTTACACATAATATAGAAATATATGGCCTCTGTTTAATAGATACTTTTAAAATAATTTCTTACAAGTTACTTTTTGGTTAATAATTCTTTATGCCTGCGCCCTCCTTACTGAAACTTAATCACGCTAAATTTCTCTCTGTTCCAGGGCCAATTCTCAAATAGGTGATATAAAGTCTGCGTTGGTGTAGTACATAAAATATATTTGAAACTAGTGGTAAAAGTCGAAAATCGCATATTACTTTTTGAGAATAGCCCCCGGTTCCGGATCATCACTAACAAAAAATCGAAACCCGTTCGCTGTAGGCGCGGCCTAGTTGCGTTGATGTATTGAGGCCTAGTTGATGATGCTTTATGAATCTTTCAGACTACTTCTATGACGTACTCGATTTGTAGTGTAAGCATAAAAATCATTCCTATTTTAGTGTTTGACTTTATCGTATAGACAAGGATATCTGAAATACAGATAACGAACACATGATTGTCATTTGTCACTTGTAAAATCTGTTATAACAGATTTCAAGTCACAAACCATCAATATAGGTTAAAAGTTAAATTAAAAATAAAGTAAATTTATTATAAAATAGCAACGGTACACAGTCATAAAAGCAATTATAATATTAATAACGCAATAATAAAATAACAGAGTTTAAGAGATATACGAAAATAGTTAAAAACAAATATCTTACAACTAAATTTTCGTAATTATGATTTATGCTTTCATTCATAAACTAACTTTATACTTAGTCTTGAAACTTTTAAGAATCTTTCTGTAGGTTTATTAAATTTAACGTTTCATTTCTTTTTTGAATAATTGCTGTGTGAGTAATAAATGTTAGTAAACGTTTAAATAAAAAATAAATATTAAAACATCGAGCCACTCAGCGTATGCACAATAATATGTGCCGATTCTAGTGCCCTATGGATGGGAAATCTACTTGCGACTAACTTGTAACTTAGGTGCATTACCGATATAAATACACGTACGTAGAATGGCCTGGGCGTGCCGTGTGTCCACAGCATTGGTAAATGTTATGTACGCGGCCTCTACTTACAAACGGCCTTTGCAGTTCGGTGCGGTCAACGACCCGCTTGGGGTCAACGACCAAACCCGCATTTAGTTTTCACTTTCGTTCAATAAGGATAACTGTTCCATACCCATACGTCACTTGCATACCCACTAATGCGTTCACAATGCGGCGTTTCGCTTCCTACAACCTGTTCGGAATCAGAGAGTGCTCGCACTTTTTTCATTTACACCCCGTACAATACGAGCCATTTTATCCTCAAAGATGGTCGTTAACGTATTGCGAAGACACCATTTTAGCATTTACAAATTTGTTAGTCAAACATACACACTAGTTTTGCATAGTAAATGCTACGAACAACGTTAAATGTTAGAATTGAGTTCGTCGAGGTTGTTGATCTAAGATTGCCGATGTGGTAACACGGGCAATAAACTGGTGTCCTTTTAACGCATTTTGGTCACAATTAGGTAATTTTCATGGGTGGTGGGGAGAGTGGTTAGGAGGTGCGGTGCGTGGGGTTGGTTCGGCGATGGTTGCGCAAGAGCGGTCGTCGACTTGGTTATGTCAGCGGTTTACGTAAGCGAAACGCTCTGGGCCAACACAATTGTACCCCGCGATTCGCACTTCGCGCGGACTGTTTGCGGTTCGCGAATGAAGCTTGTTAGCACTTTAATGTGTGTTGACACCCCAGTGTTTATCAGATATTTTAGTCATGATTTTCATACTTTGAAGCCACATAAAAGTGTCAACTATAAAAAACAGACACTTCCTGTCTTACTTACAACTAAGATATTTCATGGCCTTATGAAAATTCAATAACTAGGTAGCTTGATAAAGTTTTAAGACACGAACGGGAATGTACAGTCATCCACAGCGTTCCGTGCTACTCTAGAGCAACATAACGAACTCGGAAAAATCTGAAACTCCTTAATAAATATATTAATTCAATTCTATAAACTGGTAATTATTTTAAGATTCTTCCGTTGATCATATAATATATGTTAAAAAGATTTAATGATGCATTCTAATGTATCTGAAAACGTTGAGCAATCTAAACATTATATTTGACCTATTATTTTAAGCGATTAAAGAAGATTCAGAATCATTGTTGTGGAAGAATGGATGCGATGTGCCCTAAAGGAATAATTATGAGAATGAATTGGAGAAGGGGCTGAAGTGGTTGCGTCAGCGCAGAGAGCGGGGCTCAACGCACAAGGTTGCAGAGGTTCAATGATCTAGAAATACGATGCCCGACCGCGAACCAACGCGCACCGCCTAAGACCAGCGCTTGCGCAGCGTTCGCGGTGCAGGCGCACTACGTTGCGTGCTGAGCGAACGTATCGCGTAGATGCCTCTACGAAGCGTAGTACCTAAATATTACATTATATCGCCAATAACATTAGAGGCAAATCTAAATAAATATCTTCAAAGTTCTTCTTAATCTGTACATATTAAACTACATTAAATTTAACCTCTTACTTTCTATATCATACGCGTAGATATTTATAAACTTAACATTGTTGGTATGCGCGTGCGCACCGAAAAAAAAACAGACGCGTTTCATGGATACAGTTACAATATGCTCAGTAAACTAGGTCTTCGAATTATGACAGTTTTGTTTTAACGGTACACACACGCACAATTCCGCGATGTAACCTTCAAAAGAGAGAACGGGGTGCCGTAAGCACGTACAATGTGCCAACTCTTTTATGTGGATGTTTCGCAATTTTTATAATTTTGCCTCCGACCTTTGTGAGCCGCCCAAATCAGTGATTGGTATTCCTGTGGCGCCGAAGCTTGAGTTTTTCGTAACTTGCGTTTCAGACAACGTAACACGATCCTCATGGCGTATTTGAGATTGTTATCTTGTTAAAAAAGTAGTAGATATAATATATGTACTGTATGCTTTACAAAAATCGTATAATTTACCATTAACTAGACTAGCGCTAGTAAAAACTAGATTTATCCGGACTTCATTCCCTTACATATTCATTTAAAAATGGTATATTAACGTCTATTTACTGCTACCATAGAGTACATTTTATTAAGTAGTGAAAAAATCCTTCTAAAGTTATTCAATCAAAGAAATAAATTTAAACAAATTTCTCCATTCACTTCTTTATTCTGGCTACGGGTTGGAGAAAGCGTCACAGCGTATACCACTCGGATTACCAAAATTGATATTGGATTCGCAAATGAAGTAGTACTCTACCTTCAGGTCAACGACCTCTCTTGTTCAGTTTTATAACAAAACTGGCGCTAACATTCTGCAGCACACTTTTAGATAAGGAATAAATATGTTCTTTCTATAAAAATATAACAAATAATAACATTACAAAAGATGGAATAGAAAAAAGAATAGGACTTTGCAAATTTATAGATAGAATTTTACAAACTCTATAATTAAACATCCACTTTTATATATTATTTATGTCCATACATAGATTTTAAAATAGAATTACGAATGTGTGTGTGGCCGTCTGTATGTGTGTTAAAGAATGTGAGAGTTGATTATAAAATTAATGAAATTAAATCATAGATTAAAGTTAGCTTAAAATGCCTACCCGAGGTACTACGCCTTTCACGTTCTTATTTTGGCAGGACCCCCTTCGCCCCTCGCTCGGCCCGCTTCCTCCCAACTTCGAGAGAAAGTAGCTAGCCTACGCAATTCTAGGGTCAACGACCGTACTCGAAAATGCTGCTTCTGACAAAAAGTGACACAAAACTGCGCGTACTTCATATTCAGTATGAGTGGTCAGTTTCTTGGACGGATGTCGAATGCGATGTGATTAGGTCAGGTAAGCTATTGTTACCAGCGAGGACCATCTCACGTGTATGTACTCGTGTGCTTTTGTAAATACAGCTAAGTTCAGTTGAAGAATTCACACGAAAATTTAACCTTCCAATTTCGTAGCACAGTTAGTGCCACTAGACTAAAATTATAGAATACTGTCTGTAGTTTACGCGAGTAGTACACAGTTAAACAAAACACCACGCCTGCTACAAAGCATCCGAAACGTCGAGCTGTAGTTAAAATAATTTTCAAATAAGTTTAACTAATATATATCACCTTCTAAACCGTTAAAGTGAATTTGAAATTATTGTCCAAATCTTGAATAACCGGGAATCAGTGTTTGCCATTTTGTAATATTATTAAAAAAAGAAAGCATGTGGAGGCAAAAACATTTTAAAATATGAATCTCTCTATTACACAATTTGATGGAAATACCTAATAATTTATGAGTATAATTCTTACTTCAAAGTGATATATAACTTTCAACATTAGATGCTTTTTTAATAAATCAGTATATAGTATTTTTGTTTAGACTTGGAGCGTATTGTTGCGTGTTTAAACCTACTGTCATATTTTTTCTTCTTAGTTCGCAAAGATTATTGTTTCAGTAGGATTTATAACTAATAAATCAACGTATTCTCTATTTTCATTATCATATAACAGATTATGTGGTTTTGTATATACGAGAATATTTTTAAAGGGCGTTGAAAAATAACCTAAAAGCATACTTGACAAAAATTCAATAGGTCAATAGCATGAAGGGCTCCAGTTAAGCGCAGCAGCGCGCGGCATCAGCAAAAAACTAACCGTATTAAAAATATAACAGAATTGTGTTCCACTGCTCTACTAAGAGCATAGCAACGCGAATGTGCCTCTAGGCTGTGTCAAATTATTATTATTGAACACGCTGGGCTCTCTTAGAACGAGTTCTGTCATTTTCGTAGCTTCTGAAGTATTGACATAGATAAGTGTCGTGATGCGTAACATTCGGTATATCTTGATAAGTTTCTATTTGCTACGAGTTTTGTAAATGTTAGTAAATTTCTGAATCCATGAATACTTTAAGCATAAATGAATATTTTCGTTAAGTTTAGCTTATAATGATTATAACACGATTTATTACGAAATTCGGTTATTCACCCGAAACTAAAGGCCGAATTAATATGTTAAAGTTCAAGATGTGAATTCGTTAACGAAGTTTTTTTTAGACGATTCCAAATTCATCAACTCACGAAGTTTTTTAATTACACGCCTCTTGTTAAATATTATTTTGTCGAAGTGCAATCTAAACAACCAGTTTTATTTTTTATGTGTAATATTTCTGATTAATTCTTGATTTGAATCTTACAAACTTTGAAATAAAACACATTAACGCGATATACATATATTAGTTAAATTTATTTGAAAATTATTTTAACTACGGCCTGACGTTTCGGATGCATTGCATTTAATTAATATATATCGCCTTTTAAACCGTTAAACTGTTTTTAAATGTGAACTACTCGCGTAAACTGGAGACAGTCTCTTAAAAACTAATATATATCTGAATATCCAAACCCAAAATAAGCAGACAGCGCATCTAGTCTAGATGTTATATGGCTGGTGTTTTTTACCATCCAGTGATCCCCGTGCTTGACTATCATCCATATCATAAAAAATACAGTCTCTCTCAATTCACACTTTCCTTCAACAATTCCCACTCTATCCATTATTAGCAAAATGAAAAAAAAATACTCTCAACTATAGAGAATTTCAATTTTAGCATAGATCGTTTATTGTAGATACCAAGTACTGTCGTACTAATTAACAATACCTGCGCGTCGCGTTGTGGATATAACTAATCGAGCGTTAATTTCGCAGCGTTCGCTCGCATACAGATGAGCTGTGCAAGGTGCACGTGAGAATGGCTCTGGTACCCTTCTAGGTACTGGAAGGTATGAGATTTGCTCGACAAGCACGTGCCGAGACTCTCCGCCATGGAAAATCACAGAAAACAAGGACACGATGCAATGGTTCGTTCAACCGGACGTTATTATTCAACGAGCGCAATGTGTTGAAACTACGCAGATCTTCATTATTATTAACGAAGAACAGCGTTTCGAAATATTGGACACGTAGCTACGAAACGGCGGGCTACACGCTTGGAGCCCTTACGCATGACCAACATAACACATATTCTGGTGTTATTTACTCATAGCACCGCCCTAGCTTACTGGTTAAGCCTTGCCAGGGTTCGAGTACTGGGTAAATATATAAAGTACTATATCGTCGGATAGCGTAATCTTGTACTGAAATAAAAAATTGATCGAGAGAAATGCCTTTTTCTATTAGATTTATCTACGTGTTAATGAAAAGATACGCAAGTATGTTGTACCAGGACTCTGTCATATATATGATCTCTAAGAGTGTTAAAAGTATTTATTCGTACATCGCCTACAAATGTTAGGTATTATCTTATTATTTACCCTAATCGATATTAGTGAATTAAATCTTAATTTGATAGATGATGATGTGTGATTTCGCGCTGTCTAATGTTGTTGTACTATTAGGATAAAATATACATTATTTTTAACGCTTTATTTGTTAAAAAGTTGACTTTCCTAGTGTAAAGTAAAGTTTTTTAAGTGATCCTTTATAGAGCTCGGAATATTATTGTAGAAGTAAATGCGCACCTTCTCAAATAACAAATTGAATTGCAGATAAAATTATGATAACGAATTCTAAATTACTTAATACAGCTTGATTTTCCTTATTAATTGAATATGTATATATCTAAGCATTTTAATACTAAAATAGGCAGTTATTTGAATCGGTAATGTAATCGATAGAGTAAATAGATACTTACATTTATCCTATAATAAAAAGGGGACTCCAAACTAAGTCAGTTTTAGAGGTCGATATTTTAAATTTGCAAATAGTTTTTACAGTTGAACCATGAAGACCGCTAAGGACACTAGTTAGGTATAAGTTAAGAAAAGAGTTGGTGAATTTTGAGAAACCGTAAAGCTGATACGAAAAAAAAACATTGCATCCAATTGTACTGTAAACACAACACTATCAAAGTATCTGATTATACAATCTTTAGGGCCATTAACAAAAAAATATAATTCTAAACTAGCCATACAAATCATTCGTAAAAAGTCATGGTCTACAGCATAAAAATATTAAGTATGACATCATTCTAAATTTATCAATTCAATGACTTATGACTCAAAAGATATATAATTATGTTATAACATCTAATAAGACTTTTGGTATGTGCATTCTCATTAAAATATATGCCATTTTTATATATGATAATAGAAATTATTTATTATTTTAACACGTTTTATGCCGCTTCTGTAGCCAAATGTTTAAACGTATTGCCTAGAATTGCGTTATGCGCGAGGTAGGGCACAGAAGTCCGGTCGGGTAGGGCACAGAAATCTGATCAACTACTTGCCTGTTAAAAATAACGGATCAGTGAAACGGACACAGAAATGTGTTCGCCGCACACCCCACGAGGGGTAAACGGAATTTCACATACAACACGTTTTATGAGCATTTTTAACGAAGTGAAGAGATTTTTAGAGAGATAAACGTAAAATACAACCGTAACAAATGTCTTGTGTAAAATTGTGGTTATTCTATCCCAAAAGTACAATTTAAACAATTGCGCATTGCCGCGCATCAAACATGGTCTAACTCCTATAGGGCCCAAGCCATGTACCAAAGAGAAATCTAAACATCACAATCCTACATACAGTGGCATTAGTATGCGAGCCAGTACGACAAACGTAGCCAAAACCAAACAGCTGCGTGTGGTGTAACCGCGTGAGTGCGGTAGTAATGGACCGGGTTCGTTCTCCGATAAAAGCGAAAGTGCGTTCAGTGGGACAACGACCGGCTCCTGCTGCCCTGTCCACTTCCTGCACCCGACTCATCATCATGTAATACGTCATCGGTAATCTCACTTGGCAACATACGCACCAAGAAGTTTATTCACCTCACCGGTCGTGCTTGAGACCATATTATTATCTAACGCGAATCACAAATGCATAGAAACACACCTACGACATATTGGCATATAAATACTATTCACATAACTATGCACAGATGTTCAAAAGTTCCTACACCACGAAATAAGTACAAGTCGAAGCTTTATGCAGACTTTATTCTTGCGGACGCTGATGGTCTGCAAGGTTGAGTTTGAGTAAGGTTGAGTGTAGTATAACTATTTTCGTTTTTCAGCACCCGTAGTCGCACATACTGCGGACTGTCAAGCAGAATAATTCGCGTTTTGACTCATCAAAGTGGTGTTAATTAACTTGTATTTAAGTAACTTTCGTAGCACCAACAAAGTTTGTACTAACTTTTTCTAGCGAGTCTAATTTGGTTGACGTTTTTAAACAATGATGATATATATAAAGTAGCCGTTATATGTATGTAGTTAGGTTCTACAACTTTATAGCAGGAGTAAATATACTACTTTAAATAAAGATTTTTGGTATGCGCGTACGAAACTGCAAGACCGAATTTTTCTTCGGACTTTCTTTGTGTTTAAAACCTAAGAGTGTCCGCAGCTAAAAAATAAAGCTCCTGTTATTATATATAAAATAATAGTATTTTGATACGTAATGAATATTTATATAATAAAATGTAGATGGATAGCTAACCTGATTATCTACGAGTATTAGGTACAATGCGAACATCACATCTTTTCTTTTTCTTGGACGCCTAATAATCACGTCCAGAATTTAACATATTTTAGTCTCATATGTATAAACATTCTTGGAGAACATTGATGTGAGAACTTATTGAAACCAGTATTGCCACAAATCAACACCTTGAAGTATTGTTGGGATAATATGGTTCGAGCTACGTGTTAAATAAAAATACGCGCCTGCCTGTTAACAGACATCAAAATGTTAAACATGTGAATTTAACTAAAACCACAGGCGTTAGAAAAGGAATGTGATATTTGTATTTTAAGTATAATTGATCGTCTAGCAAACCGCCTAGCTGTCTCTATAAGTTATTCTAGTTATACTTTCGACCTTGGCGCCAACTTTAGATAGACCGCAGGGCATTAATATTTTATCCATAATGCGGAAGCGTATACAACTGCAAACCGTGTTTTTAAACCTCCTTGATCGTGGAGACACTAAGTCTATAATATCACAACCTTTGAAATCGTTATTGTGTTATATTCGTCTGCATCTACGAGCATGCGCAGTGTATCCTCGCATTGAGTCAAAAGGGAAGTGAGGAGGAACGTCGTTGCACGCCGATGAGTGGCCTCTCTTTCGCCGCTCCGCGCCGCCCGCACCCGCAGTTCTCCCGACGCGCTGGTTCTGCGCGCTCCACGCTAGCCGCATCATGGTGAGTCATGCTTCAGTGCGAAATTCATTTGGGACGACCTTTACTACGAACATAAATCGCAGGTAGAACGCTCTCATTTTTGCTATTACCGCAGCATGGCCGAAGCATTGCAAGGTCACGTCACAATCGAGTTTTTTAAGATGCTCTAGCACTGTTTGTTATTCACTAATAGCTTAACCTAATTAAATTGATATACCGTGCAAAATCATCGAATGTTTATTTACTTCACGTTACATATAGTATGATATTATTTCCAGGTAATGGACAACCGAATGGAATGTACGAATGAAACAAACAAAAATGATCCAAACTCGATTTTCATAACAAACCTTCAACATGGGGAAACCGTTAATTATTCTCTTGTGCTAATAAAGGGAATCATAACTTACGGTGCTTGTAATAATTATGAGAAAATAAAATGTACCACTAAGAGCAGCAAACTAAAAACGGATTCATATTGGGATGTATATAATCGCGAATTCAAAGTGCTCGTTGAACTGGAAAGAGGTGACAACGTTATCGACTTAGAATTTTCAGGGCTACACAAAACAAATATAATACTACGCTACGAACCTCGCAAAACCAATTTACGAGTTACACCAGTGTATATAATTTGTCAAGGTCACGATGGATGTTTTCAATGTCCACCTGAAATCAATAACTCTGTGGAGAGCGCGTGTGCTCGCATCGCGATTGGCTCAAAGATCATACAAAGTGTCACCGCTGAAAAGCTCTACGAGAGCGGCGTCGGAAGGAAAACTTTTCAACTCGAACACGAAGTGGACAGCAAAAGACCAGAATGCATAGTTTATAGAAGTTCCTTAAACGTAAACAAGGCGCGTAAAATGAAACAGGACGAATTGTGGACACATTTCGGCAGAGAGCTTATGTTATCCGATCTAGGAAGTAACGAGAGAAAATTTTTAGGATTTATTTCGTGTACGAGATTCAAAGGAACCGATAATGACAAGCCTCTTATGCATGACGAAATTGTTTCTTACACTGAGGCCTATGCAGCGCTAGGAGGTGGAGGATTAGCTTTATTTGGAACAGCGTGCTTGTATACATGGCCTTCATCTATTGCAGAAATTATACCAAAGTTTTTAGACTCTACACCTGTTAATAATAAGAGATTTATGGACGACAGCGGATATAGAGGGACTCTAGGCGGATGTTTTGCAACCACATTGGGGTCTGTTTTTCACGAGTTAGGGCACACGTTCGATTTAGGCCACACAAAGGACGGAATAATGGGACGAGGATTCGACAATATAGATCGTGTTTTCTTAGTAGGAGAGAAAAGATCAGCCATTACAAAGGATAATATGAATAACATAAATGGAAAACCAGTACAGCATTCAACCGTTTCTTTACAGCGCAATATAAACGTGACCATGAATGTGGCGGAACCTTTAAGAATATTAGGACCGAGAAGTAAAACGACCCTCGGAAATTTTGTCTCTATGTCTAAATCGGATATAGTTCGTCGAAGCCCTAACGTTACTCCAATTACAAGACCGTCTAGCGTATATTCTACGATAACAAATAGGATGTCCGATTCTAAGAAAAACGCTAACCGTTCAAACGGAAATGACTCCGTCTATTGGACGAGAAATTGTGCAGTCCTGCTGTCATACCATCGCTGGTTCAATAACGAGTTCGGCAGGGAACGGCAAGCTATAACTCGTTACCTTAAATTTGATAAGAATAAAATGATGATTTTATCCACGGCGGGTTTAAGAATTGTTGAAGTTAGAGACGAATCCAATGGCATGGTTATTGATTCATACGAGTTTACCAATGTTCTGCCAGAAAAGAGATTTCTGTTGCCCTTCACTTTTTCACCAAAGAGTAAAGTGCTGGCGATTGTGGTCGAAGATGATTTAGGCAATGTATTAAAACAAACGTTTACGTATTAAATTGGCCGAAGAATTCATTAATAGGGAACGTGAAATACAGACGTGGTGACAATAATGATTTTGTGTGTGCAAGGACCGTAAATAAAGACTTTAGTTTTTATTCTGCTGCAGAGAATATTTTTGTGATAATTGTGAAATATTTATGATTCCTTTAAATATATGTACGCTAATTATTGTAAGTTATAAAAAGAAATCAAATTAAATGCCGAGACATTAAATACATTTTATTTTTTAAGCATGTCATATACCTATCCTCTTTACTTTACCTTTAATATATCCTTCATAATATATTTTGGGTAAATAAGATTTAGTTCTTTTTTGCTGTTTTCCTACCTATATGCAAACACGTTTAAGACTTCGTAGTCTTATTGCAGCTTAACATTTGTATTAACGTTTTACTTAGGTCACAAACTGTGAAAAAAGATTTTACAGTTATTTTTTGTGTTATGTCTTAACACATTAAAATCATTTTTTCTTTCATATTTATTACAAACACAATTAACATGCCTTTACACATTTTCTATCAACTACAGGGTTAGGCCTTCTAGGCGGGCATAATAGATACCGAAATAGGTATTTATTTATTTTTCGATTAATAGTAGTTTATCTCATAAGACTTAAAAGAAGATCTAACAATATACTCGTAGAGCAAGGCTTGGGTATTGGCAAAAATAATGTTTTAAAGTTTACATGTTCTCCAAAGATTGTTGTTGTTTTGGTAATTGGTTGATCGACATAAGAACCTATAATTAACAAAGTCTAGACTCTATGACAAGATATATTACAGAGAATCTGACATGAATATTGCATTATCTGTAGTTCAATAAACTTACTCTATACTTTATTCCTCAGTTTAATTTCACGAAAAAATATATGTTGCGATTATTTATAAATTTAAATTAACGACCATGATAAAACCTCAACAGATATAGAATGTGAATACTAACATATAGATTTTGTTTTGTATAGCTTCTTAGTCATGACAGAACATAATAATATGTATTACGTAATTAACTAAAGAGAATACTGTAATAATTATTTATCAAGCAATAATTCCTACCGTGGTAACAATATAGTTCATTAGTATAAAGCCATACGTTTATTTAATAGCTGAGTAGTAAAGATTTCTAGTAACTAAATTTCCAATATCCGTTATCTTATCAGTTCGAATGTGATTACCTGGTTCCGATAAAATGGAACGAAGTTTCACGTTAAAATTTGAGCTATGGCGAATTCAGAAAGCGGTTCCAAAATATTTTCTTTTCACGATCTGAACTATTTTCCAACTGTGGAAAGGGGAAAGATAAATATTTCACAGTTCCTAAAAGCATCATTGGATCTATTGTGTATTGTTGGTAAGAAATAGCTACCGAAGTAACCTTACATATTTTAATATTATTTGCAACTAAGAACTAATACATGAACAACAAAAATTGTTACTTTAATTAATGTTGGTTACTAATATATTCTTTCAGACAGTCTTGGAAGTATAATGAAACCTGTTAAGAATGATATGCAAGGAAACATTGATGTATGTTTATCTAACTAGAACTAAGTTTATATAAGAATACAAATATTTTACATAGCATCTACATGTGATTAAATAAATATATCTTTCAGAAAATTCAAAATAAATTTGTGTATGATGAAACTTCTTGCTTGTTAGAGCTACTTCATAAGGAAATATCTAAGGAAGAATATAATGGTGCTGAAGCTACATTATGGCTCAACAGGTAATATAAAGAAAAATATTTAAATTAGTATCGACTATTAAGTACTTATGGTTGGTAATTTATGGTTAGTAGATATAATTATTAATACTTTTTAACAGAGCTTTGCTTTTCTTTGAGCTAACATTTCAAGAAATATTAAAGGCACTAAAAGATAAGCAGGAAATAAATATGAAAGCAATTTTCACAATAGCTTATGAAGGATCAGTTAAGAAATATCACAACTGGGCTGTACAAAAATTATTTATGGTATGTACTAAAAAAATATATTTATTATTTAAAGTTTCTATATTATTTTAATAAAAAGGCTTAATGAACTTACTACCACATTTTATTTCAGGTAATCTGCAGGCTGTCTCCCACTTTTCCTCAAATATTAACATCTTTAGGTTTAGAAAATGTTGAACAATTTGAAACAAAAATGACACATTTTAATGAATCTTTACATACAGTAAGGTGTTCAATTGATACATTTTATGTAGAAAATTCCTTATTTTTAGACTCATAGAGGACTATTTTAACTTCTACGTGGTAGGTACTGGCATTAAATATTTTTATTTTACATAAATGTTAAAGTTTTATTTAGAACAAAAAAAAAAAATTATATTTAACAGTCTTATTAAGTTAACACTTATAAATATAATCCAAACCAATAATAATTTGATTACAGTATTTACTTTATGTTCCCCATCCGAGCAATTTAAATGTTGTAAAAGGTACTACTTACTTTTACTAAATATTTAAACTTCACTATTCTCTTCCAATTTTTGATGATGATAGATATGTGGTTTTAGCAATAGAACATGCTTGCTTTAAAGCTGGGAAACACACTAATATTTCCAATAAAATTATGACCCACATGAATGCATGCAATACTGTTTCAATAGGAGTATTCATTAAATATGGATTAAATAGAAAATAGGTCATTACAGGAGCTTGCATGAAAATGCTTAACATTAAAAAACTAGAAAGCTCTGGTACCTGAAATTTTATAATAATATAGACATATTTTTTAATAGGTTCAATAATATTCTTGTATGAAATTTCTTACCCGACATAGTAAATTGCCAGTCTGTCCAAGATAGAGTCTTATTATTTCTATTATTATAAACATGATGCACAATGTTACAGATAAATACTTTACTATATGGTCATAATGGTTGATCTGGAACATACATTTGATATCAAATTACATAATAATATGATGAGTAGTTCCAAAATGGAATTTTATTATAATGATAGTTGAAAGCTAAAATTTTGAATAAGTTTTTTTACCTTTGTGTAAAAAAAGAACGCAATTGTAAAAACCCAAACAACATAGACACAACTATTTACAAATAAACATTTTTGCAAATATAACATCAACTTATAATTCATTTCTCAATACAACTTCGTATTTAAAAATAGTAAAATTAAAAATCACGATGTATGGATTTTATTTGTGTCGTATTTCTATAGCTACAGTAATGTCCATAGAATTTATTACAAAATGCCTATAGATTTAGATATAGTTAATTTTAATAATAAAAATAGATATATTTTTATACTTCGCTAAAATTTAACGCGATTTTAAATTTTTATTATACCGCTTAAACCAAATAATATCAATAAACAGTGTCTACTGTCTACAGACAACCATAACGTAACAAAAGCCACAGCTAATAATGCAGAAATGGTAATTTTTCTCTACTTAATCTGTGACTGCGATCTTGCTGAATGCTGATGCTGTGATCTAACCTAATCAAAAACAAAGACTTTTGAATAAGTAAAAAAAAACATTTTAATTTCTAACATTCTCTATTTATTTATTGTTATTTCTTGTTGTAAATTAATCACATAATGATTTTACGGAGTTTATGTAATGGCCTTGGTATGTGAGAAAGCATAACCACATTTCAAAGTAAATATGGATTTTAATTCATGTAAAATTCTATTTCAGAGTTATTGAAACTCGACAAGGTTCAAATGATGTTATCAGCAGGAATAAAATATTTTCCACCACCGAAAAATTATGACCGTAAGTAGCTTCAGTACTAGAAAATTATGTGTTCGACACAATTGTGGGTTTGATGATTATTTTTTAAAAGAAAACAAAAAACTTATAATAAAATAATATTAAATAATACAATTGTATTGTAATAAATAATAAACAATGCTATTGCTGCTTTGTAGAAATAACTTTTAAATAATTGCTATCCTACATTCCAGATATTGAAATACCTGAACGACAAAGATTGAAAGTATTTGATAAAGTACCACAATATCCATCAAATATAAAACCTCCGAAAATGCAAAAGAGACTTCGCTATATGAGGGGCCCTGAGACATTGCACAATACCTTACAGTTAAAGCAATATGGTGTTGTAGTAAGTAATACAAATTTTACTGTATTTTCAGTTTTTGTTTTACATTAAGTATATAGCTTAACTGTAAACTTTGACTATATTTTTAAACTTACTACTAGATACTAGTTTTTGTATCATTCACAAAACAAATATGTTATTTGGTAATCTCTGTAAAAAATTTGTAAAGCAAATGCTACATGGTTAGTGATAATAAAGCATTTTGTTAGAGATATTTATGCCATATTTATCTATGGGAACATGGGTGAACTAGTCGGCTGATAGTGTGGACTGGTCACCTGGCCTTCTGTGTCCCCAATAGAAAATAATAATAATATTATAATAGGTATCCAATATTTGACAAGTTCAAAAGACAAATAAAAGAAATATTTCATACTAATATTGAAATAATTATGTTGTGCAGTGTATTTCCAAGCGCTATGTTGTTTTATAAAGTGTTGTATAATTCTTGATTAATTATTTTATAATTAGGTATGTGCTTGGTTATAATTTTATAATATGCTTAAAATTTCCTTTTAAGGCCAGAGGTGGTGGTAGACTGAGACATGAACATTTTGAGATGATACGTCTTCAAGTTGCGAGGCGATTAAATCAAAAGATAATGTTTGCCATTTGGCGTGTGGACCCACCATGGCAGCCAGTAACAAAGAAGGGTCAAGGTCAGCGCATGGGTGGAGGAAAAGGTGCCATAGATCACTATTGCACACCAATTAAATGTGACCGCATTATTTTTGAAGTAGGAGGAAAATGTGATTATGCTGAGGTACTGTATTTAGTTCATTCTTACATTATCTGCAATGGGGGTTGGGAAATTGGATAAAATGGTCAGCGTATTGGAAGACCAATCACCCAATCAATAGAATATAATGCAAAGTATAATAATCCTTTATTGACTGTATATTAATAAGTTGTTTATAAAAATTTTACATATTTTGATAAATTTTACAGGTCTACAATATGTTAAGGATAATAGCAGAAAGATTGCCATTCAAAGCGGAACCAGTATCTCAAGAGGTTATGGAGAAACAAGCTGCTGATGAGAAATGGCGAGAAGAGAATAACTCAAATAAGTTCTCAATGAAATATTTAATTCAGAATAATATGCAAGGCTGCAGTAAGCATTTATCCAAGTATGATAACCTATGGTATGGCAAATATTTGTAGATCACATGTAATATATTATTCTAGTGATATTTAGTGCGGTACTCTTCATCGCTGCTTTGCTTTAGGTCTAATGTTATTAATTGTATTGTGTGTATCGACATTACTATGACTGAAGTATGCATATTCTGTTGAAGACCTTTAGTAAGTAAAATAAAAAACAGTTTTTATTTAATAGTTGTTTATTATATTTGACATTTCATAAGGGTTTCGACAAGCCTCAGTCTGTAGCATTCATTTATAACTATAGACTTTATATCATGGAAGAACAAAACGAAAACAACAAACTACCGCGTGATGTCGACTTGTCCCTAAACTAACGACAAAAGCTAGAATGTTTTATATCATAAGGAATCAAATTTATATTAAAGCTGAACATGTTAAAACGATTCGCTCTTTAAAGTAGTAGACAGACAAATATTTACCAGTTTTCTAGTCACATCAATACACAATTACAAGATCAATACATTAACTATTTAGTGTATGGTAATTATAACAGACATGTAAACTTTATAATTGAGTGCAGCCTACTCTGACCATAGTTTAAGCGACTACCACATTTATACATCTATTTCCTTTATATCTCCGCACGCATACCTATAAATTATATAACATCATAACAATATTTACAAAGCCTATGGAACTAACTTACAAATAATGCAATTTACATTTCAATAAATTAATAAGAAACGTTACAATATCTTACAAGCGAGTAGACTTCAATATGATATGGCGTTTAGTTTAAATTCGGCAGCTAAACAGTATTTTATCACAAGTCGAATAGAATGTATAGATCGGTTCTGCCTGAGTTCTTGCAAGTTTCGGTATATACAAACACAATACATTAATAAACTTAGGTAATTTAGGCCAAGTCTAATGTATGGAGACAATATAAAAAGTTATGCTAAATTACAACAGAAAGTAGGTTTGAGCAAGATATTGTTATAGCCCCATTGAGTAATATGATTTGACTAGGTTTCCCTTACAATTAGTATTCTAAGCTATATTATAATAACGCCCTACGCACTGGCAATTCGCAGTCTTAAAGCCTAAGTCTTTGAAGAAACGTGCAATAAATTATTTAAGAACGAAAATAACTTAACGCGTTTTATTTTATGCATAAGCTATAAATATATGTTGCATCGCTTGTATTCAGGTAAATTGCTAAGCTATAAGTTACGATATAAGTGAGGTAGCGTTTTCACATCTTCAATGGAAAATATGTACATACTATAGACAAAATGCATGTTCGTGGATTTGGTAAATTGTTTTGCCGACTGCCAAAGCTCGAATTTAATTACGTTGGGATTATCACGAAAGGAAGTTAACTATACAGATCAACAACGCGAACTATCTACATTATAATCTTTTTGAGTATTAGATATATGCACACAACAAATTTTATACTTGAACGGTGCAACTTTGTTGATGACTAGAGTAAATACGTCAAACGTTAGGGTACACGTATAAAACACAATTACATAGTTAATATTACTGTTTTCGATCACTGCAAGGATCCACTTTTAGACACGTATAGAGGATATTATATTGACAACAACTTATTCGTACGCCTCGCTCAAATGTTCGAGAAGGTATTTGAGCTGTCGTTTCATAGAACTGTTGTTATGTGCGATCGAATCGCAAAGCATCTGTGTCGGTGCAACACTAGATACGTTCTCATAGATGTGTGCATCGAAGTTGTGTTTGTTGTTGTTTTGTGTGTCAATATGAGTATCCTCTACCCCGGCTACACCGGATATACCAGTGGGTGCATTGTTTACGTCGATTGGAGCTTTGTTGATATGCTGATAATTAAACGTAGACAATATCTCCCGGATCTTTGCAATGATCTGCTCTACTCAGGCGTTCGATTCCTGCGAAAAATTTAAATCGACATAAGTGACAACTTGCGGCGTCTCCATTATAATTATAAAGTTAATTGGAATATTTGCTACGTCTAGTTAGTGAGAAGATTTGGTTACTATTCTAGCTTTCTACTTGATGAGAAGGAATGATGTCTTTATTATTCGGGCATACACTAGACATGTAACTCTACTAAATACATACGCTTTGCTTCAATATTACTAATAGACCGTAAATGCACTGCTTATTAAATAAATTTAATACTGCAAGACATTATAATCTATATAATATTTTGTATAAAAACGTAGTTATATAAAATACTATACTACATTTCATTAAATGCTTCAAAAGTCAGGCTCGAATATTCATAAGTATTACACAAATATTGACGTATGAATATGATAGATGCGCCGTGACCGATGGTGCCCGAGTGGGTGTCGATGGAAGCAGCAACGTCTACTCTAGAAGCATGGTGGGACGGTGTGTGGCGGTTTATACCTTGAGGTTATGGAAATAATGCATGATTTGATCGTAGTCCATGTGCAAGTCGTCGAGTCCGAGGGATTCAACGGGGGCGTCGACGCGACCGTCTTCGCGAGAGTACATGGGGTTGCCGACGATCGTAGCCCGCTTCACTTCTGGCGAAGTGTTTCCTCCTGTGAATTTAGATAAAAACGTAAATAAAAATCGATTTTAGATTGATTTAAATAAATGCGACACCGGTGGACTTGAACCGGCATTCTCGGTTAAAAACGGTAATTTAGTGTGATAAAACTTCAATAATATAGGCACGACTCGATCAACAGCACAGTCACGTCTGTGTGCATTGAATATCGTTTTCATTGAATATCTCTGGGCATTGAGTATTTCGAAACATCGGATCAAAGTTAAAAATAAGTCAACTTCAACTCTATTTTCTGTATTGTCTGTAGTTAACGCGATTAGTACGCATTTAAATAAAACACTTTTGACGGTAAAAAACACGAAATATACTACTTAATTTATTTTACCTCCGGTGACCACAGCTATTGCAAAGCATCGGAAACGTCAAACCGTAGTTGAAATAAGTTACTCGATATATTTCGCGTTTTCAACTAAAGGTGTTTTATTATATTTAATTATTATAATTTTCCCTGATTATAATCGTCTCTTTATTAAGTCAACATACCGTATAGTCAATAACATAAACATTATATGTATTTGGTTTCAGTATTTCGAAACTTTTGAGTATCAAGTAAATAATATTGTGTGAACGTATCCATAAGCGAAATCCCGTTTTCCCTTCGTGGGACATGGGGCGATCACATTTTTGTTTCCGTCTTACTGATCTTTTAACGGACAAGTAGTTGATCAGACTTTGGCCCTTCCCGCCGAAACTTTGTCTCGCTAGCCTCTCCGCTTATGGCAAAACTCTGGAGGGTAGGGTTATAGTATTAAGATATTTTGTGCTATGTCTAACTATAAAACTCACTATGATAATAGGTATAGGTTGAAACTTTAATACTACTTTTTCTACTAGAGACGGGTTTTAGCATATTATAGTTATATTTTTTACCTTTATTTTGATTAGATAGATCCACGAAATCTTCTTTTCCGTTCGTATCCTTCGCTTTGCTCTTATGCCTCATTTGCATATCGGGGAGACCTGAAATTAATATATTTTCGTTACTTTAAATTATGTCTATCGACTTTAATGAAGTTTAAGTATATTTCTTACCGATTCCAGAATCATGCATGTAGTCGGGACTCTCAGGTTTGGTGAATGTACGTCGCGAGTCATCGGTTCCTCTGTTCAATCCAACGATTTCCCTGTAGTCCTTATTTTCCATAATCAGTGGGGCGTCATTATCAAACTCAAATAGCCTAGCGCAGTCGTCTTTGTTTGCCAGTTTTTCCATGGGGTCTTCGAAGTCGTTACGGAGTCGTAGTGGATAAGAGTCTCGTTTGTACTGATCTTTTAGTTCGCGACTCGACATGTATGGGGACTCGGTTTTGTTTAAATCAATAATTCTGAAACAAGCAAAATTAATGAAGTATTACATTGTGTTTATGCGCAAGAGTTTCCGAATTCGAATGCCGCAAATCACACAGTTTTAAGTTTAAGGTAGCCACGCGTAAAAAGTAAACTTTTTCTCTAATGTGTTGCTAGCTTGGCATACCAACATGACTATGGCATATCTGTCATGATACTCCCATTTTTAAGGAGATTGCCGCTCCATAGTTCGATTATTTAAAAGTCAACATAGATCGACAGCACATCTTGTTTAGATGTTATATGATATTTTACCTTCCATGCAGTAAACGACATGTGCTTGCCTATTCCCCATCTATCACAAAAAATATATAATGGTCTCTCGTTAACATACCGGTCTGGGTGGCGATTGTTTTCCGGAGATCTTTTGGTCGACTCGTGTTCTCGATCGTATTTCTTATGATGATTGCGGGAATGACTACGTCTTGTAGGTGGCATGACGGTCTCAGGTAAAATCTGTAGTGTAAAGGTTAATACAATTTTTAATAAAAAGTGCTATCATATCTATAATGAGAAGACGAAAAGAATATTACTTTGTTATTTCGTGGTGGCACGGGGACTTGAGGTTGAGGTGTCGAAGTATTTCTGTGGGGCGGCACGGGTGGCCGGTAGTCATCTTGGATTGTCGGGTCTCTGAAGTTTTAAAAGGTCAGTTATTATACTTCGTCTATTATAGGATGATAAGTTTGACCGTTCACTACTATATACAAATAATAATATATGTCGGGTATACTGCCCGCGAACAAACACCAAAACGAAGGAGTAAGTATGTACACACGGATCTAACGTATTAAAAAGGATTATAGAGTAATATTAAAATGAAAAAAGTAGCGATTGTTACTGCTTTGGAATAAACAAACGATAGTCGAATATGTATATTTGATGCAGGGATACCACCCTAAAGCTATTGTAAATCGTCAAACTTATCCTCCTATATACAAAATAAGGCTAATTATAGTGTGCTAATATAATGTCATGTGGTTGTGAAACATGCAAGATATGATGGCAATGATAATCTTACTGCCAATGACCGTCTCCGGAGTTTTGGCGCGTGTGCCTCGCCGGTTTCTTGCAATACGTCGTCGAATCTATGACCCTCTCCCGTTTCTCGCTCTGCGAGGGTAGTTCGATAGAATTGGGGTTATCGAAGCTGGTAACCATGACGTTTCCATTGTCGCGGATAGCATCATCAGGGTCTACATAATTGTAATTTAGTGGGTTGTTTGTGATACGCATTTCGTGGTTATTGTTGCCCTTGTCGGCTTGTTGCGTTGAGTTTCTATTCATTTGGTGTCGAGCTCCATTCTTTTCTATGGTGGCTCTTCCTAGAAAAAAAAAAACAAAATCATTGATAATAAAATACCTTCTAAGATTTTCTTCAGTCTATGTATATTTTTGTTCAACCCCAAGGACTTATTGAACTAACATACATGAACGATTCGTTAACATAAGTTATATACATTTTATGATAATTATATATAATGGAATTTAAATATCTAAATCAAGACCTAAAATCAAATGTTAGCTTCCAAATAAAAATAAAAATACGTAAACTTTACCTAGCCATACCCAATCATGGGCGTTTGTGGTAGATTCTCTAGTTGGTTTTTCTTTTGCCAAGCCCAGTGTGGTTCCAACTAGATTCGTAACTTGTAAACGCCCGTTCTCAGTAGCACTTGGGCTTCGGCAGCCACCACCTCCAATGCTATTAACCCTCTTCAATTTGTAGGCATACACAACGCAAGACACAACGAATACCTGTAAAACAATTTACAACATTTAAATATTTATAAGTTTTTAACGTTTTTCAAGCGTTCCATAGGAAATTCAACCTTAACAGATATCTATTCAGACCGAAATCCTATTGCGCTAGAAGGTTATGTGTAAGTGCATAGTCAGTATACACGTAGGCAGCGTTACGGTAGCTCAATTGGTGGAGCAACTCACCGAACTACACGAAACCGAGTACCGCCTGTGCATCGATTTTCCGTCTTTTAAATGACTTTATTAAGAAACTTATTACTCTATTAAGAAGTAAACTCATTTTGTAAAAGTCTATTTAACTTACCATTATTGCAAAACAAAAAGCTCCGAGTAGTATCGACATTCCTAAAAAAAGAAAAGGTTTGGGTATCATAATAATAAAGATATAGAAATATATACGTGTATATAGTATAAACAAACCTATTTGTACTTGTGATTCATTTTTCTGAGCAACATGTCGTGGGTGATGTGCGTTATTATTGGGTCGGTGTATTGATCCGTATTGCTGAGCTTGAACTGTGGGATTGTGATTGTTTTCATCTTTGATCCGTGATATATCTAAAATGAAATTAAATATTCTTAATTTAAACATTACACTTAGTTATGTCTTGTGTCAGGGTTAGCAGCATATAGGTTCCATGAAGAAAGTTGAAAAAATCTACTCATAAAAATATATTAAAATACCTACGAATGCACTTAATAGAAAACTTATATACATTACAATGTATGTCATATAAAATATCTTGAATGTAGAGACGCCGTTAATATTTTTTTAATAATTAATTCTAACCTTTAAGGAGATCAGTTAGATCATTCATCCCACTTCTGATGCCCCCTCTAGCCATGATGTCATCGTTTTGTGGTGTATCTGGTCTTTGGGGCGCATCTGTGCCACTGAAGTCTACGTCAACACTAGCAGCGGCAGTTGCCAGTGCTCCGGGAATGTTTTTAATATTTGCTGGAGTCTTAGCGTCTCCTTTACCAGGCAGTGCCACGCGACGGATAGGTCCAGAACGACATTGATCTGGTGTCAGCAAGGTTACTCGAAGGAGTTCTCCGCTGCCTGTAAACATATGATAGTAAGTTTAGTAAAGTGTTGTATCAGTATCCAACGCTTCAAGTAAAAATACATAATAATACTACTTAACGACTATTTGATCTGCGGACGGGGGTTCGTGGGCCTAAAGAAAATTCGATATTCCTATCGCCCGTTAATATCCAAGTCCTGTATTTTTCAGAAAAATTATAAATTGGTTAGAAACATATCGGACTCGGTGGGGCTTGAAGCCTGTTGAGTATTATACGTTGCGACCAACGAGCCGAGATGTTACATATATTAGAAATATAAATGGGTATAATCGTTTCTCATCGATTACCTTCACCAACAGCTATAACGCGCGGGTGAACTGAAGCCAACATCGGTGCAAATGCCACGACTTCAATATCCAAACTCTCAACTAACAAGTGATAGTCGGTTGTGGCTACATCGCGCAGAGCTGTATGTGTGCCATCCGAAAACTCTATGTCTATATCCAGCAGTCCTTCCTGAGAACATTGAAATTATAAACAAATTTTCTTTATATACTTAAAATAATATATAGGCCACAGTATATAAAAATAATATAACCAATGACAAGGCTTATCACTAGAAGATGTCTTGGTAGATTTTATATATTTGAGGGAAGTGTCAATACTCCCAGTATTATCAATAATTATTATAATAATTGTGAGACACAGTAATAGTGACTTTGGTAAAGTAACCTAATGTGTAAAAAGATAAAGACATAACAAAGAAGAGATTACATTATTTTAACTGTCCATGCAATACATTTTACATCATACCGATTTTTTTATATACTTCGTCATGACCTCGTAGATTCGCCGATGATATTGATGATATAAAACGTATATTATGAAACTAAGCATAAATGATTAGATAGTTGCTTACTTGATACTGAGCAGTGAGACGTCTCGTAACCGTTGTCTCAGAAACGTATCCGTTTTCGATAGCCGTGTCGGGGGAAATGTTCAGTTGTAAGCCGGATATGACTCGAACTAGAAGTCGACTAATCGATACTTTGTCGTTTACCACGCGCACCTCGCGGAGTCCAATAACACGACCTGTAGAACAAGAAACGAACATAATAAAAAAAATGCAAAGGGCAGGACTTGAACAGGTATACGCATCGTTCCGTGCTCTTGCCAGCCGATTGGGCTGCCGTGCCCCCTGCACCCCTCGCGCAATATAAAATTCGATCTTTTTACTTATATAATGCCATTATGTGCAATAACATGCGGAAAGGTTTCAAACTGTTTCATGTTTCAAAATACAAACTCATATTACTGTAATCTTAGACTTTTACTTTTAAGCCTAAGCCACGATTTCAGGTTAAGCATTTCTTAGTCATAATTGTTGTCATTAGCTGAGTCTAAACATAATGAGGACTATGAACCGCTGCGGAGTATCAATTACCTCCTTCGTACTTATGTTAAGCGTCCCTTTTGTTCTGTTACAATGAAACTTGCCTGTAATCGGAGAAAGCACTTGTACTTCAGTACGGCCCGTACTTCGTCCTTGTAGGACGCGGTTTCTGAGGGACGCAATTCGTGGATCTGACACGCGCATTAACGAGAGCACCAGTTCTGTCACTTTGAGCCAGGTTCTACGGGATACGAAGTATGACACTCGGCCGGAGTCATGGTCTTTGGCCAGGAATCTTGCGTATACCTTAAATAAAAAAATGTATCATTAGGTAATTAACTAACTGTGTAAAATGTCGTTTCTCCTATGTTGGTAATCATTTCCTGTATGTTTTACTGGTCGATATTATTTTATCAAAGACTCGTTAGTGTAATAGTAGCAATATGTGGGTTTCGATCCAAGTCCAATCTAATCAATTTATAATTTTTCTGAAACATGTCGGGCTTCGTCTGGAAATCTGGGTAATAAATGGGCGGTATCACGAAACACAGGTGATAACGCAGTGAAGTGTAATCGCGTTTTGGCTTCAGTCTGTGGATTTCCGAATATCTAAAGCCAAAATAGATCGACGGCGCATCTTGTTCAAGATATATCGCTAGGGTGTTTCGCCTATCATCGAGTGTAATGCCCATGCTTGCCTATCCTCCTTTATCACAAAAAAATATATAAGACTTATATGCCTTACCAGACTATATATTTATTCTTTCGGAATTAGAAGCCAGGTTCTTTTGCGCTTAACATAAGCTATCAGACAAAGTAGTTAATCAAACTAAATAAAATAATAAAAATCCATGTTAAATATAGCTTTGAATTATTCGTCTATATACCGAATACCTATTTCAGGAAACTAGGTGGACACATCCACGTTAGACTTATTTTATCTCAAGCATAATTGGCTAACTTCCAGGATGCAAAATGCATTGACACACATTGCGAACAATTTATTTATTATTTTAATATATTACAGCCACTGAAAATCAGTGTCGCAATACAAGTGTGTTCGTAACATTATGCTGAGTGGCTCCTGTTTTCGGAGTTGCCATAGTTAACATTTTTTTAATGTATATTTTATGTAATCCGTATAAGTTTAGTTTAGTTAATCTTAGTCCATTTTAATTTTTGTGAGCAACTTTTAAATAAATTATTTTTATTATTATATAGGGGAACGATATACAGGTACTACAACATTAAATTCATTTATGTCCGCTAAAGCTTCTTGGCTCCTCTAGTGGCGTAAACAAATAAAATCATTTAACAACTCGGGCATACAACTTCCTTTAATGAAACAAGAAAAATAAGTATCAAATTCTGTTTTCTTTCGTATTCTAAAAATCGCTTATTGTTTAACAGGCAACAACAACGGGCAGGCCTCATTTATTAAAGCGAGCAAGGAAAAGTAAAAAATCAATATTTTTATTAATTAAATACCATTATTGGTAATATTCAAGAAAATATAATATAAATAACTGGCGATTATCGAGTAAATTAATCGATAAAATTACGTTCAACTAAGGTATGACGCCTTACATTTGTTGTTTCATGTCTGATTGGGAGACTTGTCTCTTTGACCTTATCAAACTTGTCAAACGGAAAGGAGGTCGAACGGTATAAAGTTATGTATCTTTTCGGGTTCGAAGCTCCCAACCCACCAATTGCCATCCAAATCGGTTCTTCCGTTCTTGAGTTATAAAAGTGTAACTATGCTGTTTTTGATGAAAAAAGTAAAAATGTTAATCTACAAGAGGACAGTGACCGAAAATTATTAACATTATTTTTACACAAATAATTGTTAAATTAATTTCCGCCTAAGTTATTTACGCATTTTTATTTTCCTCCTTATTGAAAATCTATTTTTTTGTTTTTAGGCCACTCTGCACCTAGCAACCTCATATAGAGATTATGAATTAAATTTTAGTTTATATCCCTACGCCCTACATTAAACATTAATGACGTTTTTATTAAAAATACCAAGAAGCATTGAAACTTTGTCGCTGACTCCAATATTCATCGACACAAGGCTAGGTCGAGCTAAGTTTTTATTGTTTCAGAGTGACCTGAATCAAATCGTACGCCACTTACGTCACCCTTTAATCGCGATTCTCATTTATGTTCCAATATTATTCTACCACAAAAGAACTCATTGACGAGAATTCTTAGTGGAGTTTTATTACCTCAACGTTACTTTGTTGATATCGGAGTCGGCAAGACCGTTGTTCCGTTAGGGCATTTGGGCCGTCGGGTCTCGTCGCGCCCCACCCCCTCGTCGTCAGAGACCGTTTTAATCTGTCCTTAGCGCTCGTTTCATCTAAAACTTTCCAACCTGAAACAGAAACAAAGGCATATCCAGGTCAATATGCAGATGGAATGTAGGTTGCGTAGTGTCATATCAAAAATATGACGATTTTACAGTGTCTCTGGGTGAGAATATTTCCCGTTATTTTCTTTTATTGTAGATAGATTGATACTTGTCATAGTACTTTTAGTGGGTACAAGTTTTTGTTCCTATATGTGAATCCTGATAAAAGTTTTTTTGCCATATGAAGTATTTGGACTATATTTGTTTATTTTTTTAATTGCCTTAAAATAGTTCTTGTGAGTTGTCTTAAAACATACGTATATAGTACGCGGACATTTTTTTAGATCATTTAAATGTAAGAAATATATTGTAAACATTGTATGTCGAACGTTTTCGCAGCACACACAATGAAATTCCTCAAAGATAAATAATTTTCCACATTTTTTCCACTTTCCCACTTTTTCTTCGCTCCTATTCGATCCTGGTATTCACAAAAATTTGCAATTCAATTAGACAAGCGCGTTCAAAAAAAACTCTATTTATAATTATTTAGTATAACGATGTGATTACAAAAAAATTCCAACCTCTCTTTCAACAGATGTGAACAAGTGCAAGGTTCAACTAATGGAAGGCGAAATTCTCAAGCCTACATTATTTAGAAGGCATTGACAATCTTTTGCTTTGGAAATTATAAATAAATAGACTACCTTTAATTTGTGATAGTCTGTTATCATCAACATCAATTTCCAAGGGATATTCAGGCATCCATACGGTGAACCGCGCCAAACCAGTGTAGGTACCATATTTGACAATCACGGAGGCATTGGACGAACCACGAATTTCTGAACCATCTACATATACGGAGCTGCACGATGATGAAACCTAGGATAGAATTAATTTATTGTTTATTTCTACAAAATCATGCAAACTTCCAACAATGGACTACTACCGTTCATAATATTAAAAAAATATTTAAAAAATTGCATTAAAATAAAATAAATGAACTTAAAAGATCTTTAATATTACAGTGGCTATCGTAATAACTTTTATGTTAAATACTGTCTATAGTTTACGTGAGTAGTACACATTTAAATAAAACACTTTAACGGTTTAAAACGCGATATATTAGTTTAACTTATTTGAAAATGACTTTTACGACGTTTCGGATGCTTTGCAGCAGCCGTGGTCACGGTGAGACTAAGGATGAAGGATGTCTCTGACGTCAAAGTAAAAAATTGCTACGCTAGCGCCATCTGTTCCGTTGAAGTTGGTATATATCGCGTTTTAAACCGTTAAAGTGTTTTATTTAAACTTTTATGTTATTCAATAAGTTAAATTGTTAATTATATTATCCATAAAACAAAATGCAAACACGCACTTCTTTACTGTTTTCACAACTGGACTTCCTAACTCTCCTTTCTAACACATGCTGAAATGTTTGTGCACAACGGAGTTTAGAATCTACAACATCACGATCCGAAATCGATTGCACATACCGCGAGGTATTCGTTCATTCATATTTAAAGGACGGGCTTCGTCAATAACACACCAGACTGATAGATTTAGCACAAGCAAAATAGTTCATCTATCGTTCAATTAACTGAAGGACGTTCGCATCCATACAATCGTTAATTGACTCACTTTGAGTACGCTCTCGTCCTCCGAGTGACAAGAGCTCTGAAGTGTGACGTCAGCAACCTGACCAGCCTGCGACACGATGAGGACCTTCATGGCTTGAGACACTTGGCGTCCAGTGAGCACTGCAGTGTTTAGTACCTCCCAGTTCTGTTGAAAATACAATGATAAGAGACATACATAGACAACGATTGCTCCCGTTAAACATAGTATTATCTTTATTTTATACAAACAATCACACTGTATAAATAATTAAGAATACGGTGTAAAGCCGCCGTTGCTAATGTAAAGCCATAGAGCATTTGAAAACTTTAATATTTTTCACGTGGTATTTGCACACGATGGCATTAGATGTTTATAGATTCCAAATAGATTTTTAACTGTATGTTGAATGTTTGAATGTATGTATGAATAAATAATTTGTTTACAGTTAAATTAAAAATCGACTTCAGCTGGACTTCAACCGGCAACCCCGGCGTTTCGTGCTGTTGCTCTAACCCATTGAGGTACCGTGTCCTACACGTCATCGTCAATTGTTTTTTTAGTTACAGTTTATATTTCGGATTTTCCCCGTGTGTGTTACACCTCAGTGACAATCATGCTATCAGACCGAAGGACCTTCGAAATGGGTTCGGCTCATACACACAGAAACACATAGTTAAGTTTATAATACGTATATATAAAAATCCACATATTGGATACAAAATATATCTATCAAAGTTGCACGGTATTTCAGAAAACTATTCTATGTGCATGTAGTGTAAGTATATAAGTAATAAGGGACATTACAAAGTTTTATCTTTTTATAACAAGTTGTAAATATTGAAGGAATTTATGTTAACATGAAAGATAACAACAAAGGCATACAAGTTCTACAAAGCGACGCGACTATAAATGAATATAAACATACTAATTAAGGACACTAACAGTTGCATCAATTTATAAATCTCTTCCTTCAAGCGTCACTTGTAATAAACTGGGAACTAATTTTTGCCTGTCAACGCGATGTGTCTAGTACTTGGCTTGAAGAAGATTGATTATTCATTCGAAAAATGACCAAGATTTAATACTTGTAAAGTTGTTTGACGGTTGAAACCACACAGGCATCCGTAGCTGAGAGTATATTGGTAATTTTGACGACATCGTTGATCTGAGAGTATCACTAATAATTATTGATTGAAAATAAGTCGTGGGTCCCCAAATCCAACGTGTTTATCAAATTTTAATTCTTCTGAAACACGGCCCGTGACCACGGCTGCTGCAAAGCATCCGAAACGTCGGGCCGAAGTTAAAAAGCATTTTCAAATAAGTTACTAATATATCGCGTTTTAAGCCGTTAAAGTGTTTTATTTAAATCTTCTGAAACATGTTGGACTTCGTGTGGAAAATTTTATATTAAATAGGTGATAAGAAATTCTATCCGGGTAACAAACACCCGTCCACAGTGGGAAAAGCTGTGAAGTTCAATCGCGTTTCGGTTTTAGTCTGTGGAATCGGAAGCCAAAATAGGCCGCCAGCGCATAAGTTTCAGAAAGTCCTACTTTTAAACTAATATAATCCCCTCGTTTTAGTCACTTATAATCACTCAAGCCAATAAAGATCTCGTTATAGCCCCGAAAAAGCGCTTCTAGATCTTTGAATCCATTAATTACGAGGGATATAGCATCTTAATTTATCGTTACTATCGATGTCTCAATAAATTGTGAATTTCGAGCGCCCGCTTCGGCCCTAACGATTGTCGTAAAATTAAGTGAAATATGCCACGTTCGCTTTACTTTTAACGTAAGTTAGAACTTAATGTTGCAAATGAAAAGGTTTCTCCCATCGTTCTATGTACGAAAGAGTTTGTGATAATTATTTCAGAGATGTTTTAGTTTTGTGTGTCAGTGCTTTATTTATAATAGCCAGCGACTTCGTCTGTGCAGAATAGTTATCGTAGGCATCAAAATTTGTTTTTTCATCTTTTATAATGATTATAGTTGTTACGTTACATAGTCGTTCTTGCAAGTTAATCTTATAAGATAGACATGTCACGAATATATTCTATTGGTGGCAGCCTTCCTCGACAAAAGCTCTAACTAACACAACAATAATGTTTTGTAAATTGTGTAAGGCTTTCACGGCCATCGTTCAGCATATCATTCTCGTATCATTATCGTCTTTCGGGCTATTCGGCCGATGTGAGCGAGAAGAGGTTCTCGACGTTTCGCCATCACATGTGGACCGCATCATCAAGAGATGTTAACTCCTCGATTCCTCAAAGAATTACTAATAATTATTAAAATTAATAATAAAAGAATTATTAATTCTTCGAGCATCTCCTGATGATGCCGTCCATGCTGATGTCCATGATATGCTATAATGTTTCAGTTTGAATCAGTCGTTGCTGAGATTAGCGCGTTCAAACAAACAAACGCTTTAGTCTTATAATATCTATAGATAATCTAGTTATTTCAGACACTAGCCTTAGATATGGGCAAGACAGCTTGAATGTCATCCTTTTCGATATCAAGCCTAGTATTAACTCGGTGCTCGTGCGGAGTTTCCTCTGTGGTGGAAGTACCGCTCGCAGATGTGGAGACTTTAGCGGACCAACTGATTCGAGCGGTGCCCCTCCCTGATTCTCCTTCAGAACCATCGTTGTCACTCTCTCCTTCAGCTCCAACCTCCACGAGCCAAGTGAGAACTTCCTCCCAACCAGGACCGCCGGCGCCACTGCTTTCGTCCTCATCCCTGGATAATAAACTTTAATCAAAACATGTATTGTATTAAACAAAACTATAGTTCGTCTGTTAGACAGCGCTCGTACAACCATTTGATATTTTAATAACAGTAAATCATGAGTATGTTTCTGAAGAAAGAAAAAAAGGAGGAATTTCTTAACTTTATATTGATAGTCTTTAATCACTTAAAAATATCTATATATTGTTTAGAGACTCGAACCCCGTACCTCGTAATTTGTTGTTGAGTGCACTTGGTCACAAGACCAATGACGCAGTTAAAAGCAAAGCTTTAAAATATGAATGCCTTCGCGCAAAAGGTCAAGGTAGTGCGAGCCTTTTGATTTTCAACTGGCAACACTTAAGTTTTTATTTCAATAGTGCATTCAAACTAAATTTTAAACCGGCACATTGCCAACAAATAGTCTGCCAAGAACAGTTTGTTCAATGTTGATTGCAAATGCTAAGCTACGAACGTATGTATTTTTAATGTACAGGTAAATTCTAATTTAACCGTGTCTGGTACTAAATAATTATATAAAAACTAGTTGTGCCCGCGACTTCGTCCGCGTGGAATAGTGACTTGGGGTAGAATTTTTTAATTATTTAGGCTGTTTGTTAATTTATGTAAGGGCGCAATTAAAGCAGCCTATCTATGTTGTAAGTACTTCTTTGCCGCAATACTCTCACCTCACATCACTCTTACTCTAACTCCAATTTTAGCATCAAAAACACGAATTGGGATCCTTCTTCCTTTTAGCCCCTTTTTCAACCGCTATCAACCCTTTTTTGGCATTAGAAAATATCAGTGTACCAAATTTCATTTAAATCAGTTCAGTAGTTCTGGAGTTAAAGACAGACAGAGTTACTTTCGCATTTATAATATTAGTATAGATAACTAAGTAACAATATAGCCTCTATAAATATATTGTCCCATACAAATCGATAAAAATATAATAATACACAATAGAACTTTTTTGACGGTTTACAACACGTTATATTTTATTTTTTCATACTTAAAAACTAAGACACCACGCGATGACAGCTCAGAAGCAAAGCATACGAAACGTTGGTAATAAAAATAACAATCAATATAGTTAGCTTTTTAAACCGTTAAATGTGATTTATTTCGTAAGTTCGCGTATGCTAACGACACAAAAATCAGTTAATTTTTTATTACGTAATATTATATTCTCTTCGTCTACCTTTTCCGTGATTACTTTCGTGCAATTATATTTAAATTACGCATTGCAGTCGAAAAGTAGGCATAACATACCGAGTATCGCCAAGACACCAAGAAAAATTATGGCATTGTAATCCTTTATTCATTCGGGGATAATAAGTTAATGGCCCTTAAACAATTAAGTAAGGACCTCTTAAGTGCTATTACGGCTTTTGAAGGAATGTTTATTGAATAACTAGGCAACTATAAATTATCATCTAATTTTGATTAATTAATACTTAAGTAGGTATTACTATAACAATAATAATCATGTTTTGAACTGTTCAAATTATTTATTTAGATTTTAATCCATTTTTATGTGTTAATCAACAACACAAATCTAAATAAATTATGTATATATAGATTTTTTATAAATCGATTAGCATTTATATAAAACACTTTAACGTTTTAAATCGCGCAATATGTTAGTTAAAGTACATTAAAATTTACTTAACTTGTATGTTGTATTTAAAAATAACTCAACTCGGGTTTCAATCCGTTAAAAGTGTTTTATTTATGTTTCCAACTTTTCAAAACTCAATAAAATCAGGATGTACTTCTGTTATACATAGATTCAATAGTTTTGGTTCAAATTGCCGGATTTAAACCAATCTAAAAAAAAACACGTTAACGGTATAAAACGCGATATATTAGTTAATTAATATGCACCATTATAGTGTTTTATTTAAATGTGTACTATTCGCGTAAGCTATAGACAGTATTTAATTAAACCAATCTGTTTAAATACCGATTTCCAGTACCATATATATCAATATTCATACCGAATTATTGCAACATAGTTACAGAGATTAAGTAGATGTTAGCCGTTGAACTGCAATATGCAAGAAACAATCAACATTTAAATAAAACACTTTAACAGTTTAAAACGCAATATATAAGTTACACTTATTTGAAAATGATTTTTAACGAAGTTAAAAATCGAGGTATCGAATGCTTTGCGGCTGCCGCGGTCACGTCTTCCCGTGATCAAATCATTTTCAAATAAGTTTAACTAATATATTGCGTTTTAAACCGTTAAAGTGTTTTATTTAAATGTGTGTATTTAACGATCAACATTTTTAACTTAATGGTATTTATGTTTACCAGTAACCAATGTTAACCAAGAAAACTTAAAAAACCCGTTCAAAAGTTACACATATTTGAGGCAATTCCAATTGTGCTAGGTTTAAAAGTGGGCAAAAAGGTTTCCTCTATAATGGATCCTCTGGGAAATTTACCGAGATCTGCCCGACTCTGTACTTATTTAAACTTTATGAAGACAGAAACTTTTATCGCGGAATTGCTTTTCTTCGTACCTAATGTTACGGATTACGGTAATTAAGACAAATAAATATTAGTTCTGCGTGAAACTTAAATGAAATTTATTTAACAGTAACAATTTTTAATATTACCGTAGTGAAAGACATTTAAAGATATATTTTTTAAAATTGAGGTTAACTTAAGAATTGATTAAATAGAAAAAATAGGTAAAAGTGTTTTAGTTAAAATTATTTAATCGCTGAATAATTATCGGTAAGTTTCTTTCTAATCGGGTTGTCGGAAGAGATGTGGCCGCCCGGAACCCTCTACATTTAAAATTGCATAGTATCTGTAAGTTCTGTTCTGTGTGCCTAAGTGTGAAATAAATACAGAAATATATTGTTTTATTATACTTAGTTTCCATTCACGTAAGTACAATTAACATTTAAAATATATCTTAATTGAGATGTTGCCCTTCTTTAAAAGTTGCCATTACAAAATCATGTCTTCACTTAGTTTAAATTACCACACGAACTAAAGTATATATTTACTCACAAGTCCAGACCATCATCATCTCGCAATGGTTGCTCTAGCCGGGTCGCTGTGACCGTTGCAGCCCTGGGCTTCACCTCAGCAGTCACAGCCCAGTGGGAGTTGGCTGCTGTCACGCTTACTAGTCGTAGCCCCGATTTTACCTTCATCCTTTAAAGAAGAAAAGCTGTTTATTTCTATGTTATGTAATGGGCCAGTATTTTACTTTTTAGTTATCTACTAAATAAAAACGATCTTAAGCGTATAACGATATTAATCTATACTAATATATAAATCTTAAGAGTTTGTTTGTATATTTGAACGCACTAATCTCAGGTACTGCGGGCCATGACGTCGGTCGCGTCCGTCGTTCTTGCAAGTTAATCTTAAACGATAGTCATATAGTGTCGTGGACTTTTATTTAGATTGTTTAAAGAGGAATACATTTTCGGAATCGGAAACCCACAGAGATGAATAATTTTACTTTCCCGCTGTTACTTCGCTCCTATTAGTGTAACTAATAAATAGGAGCGAAGTTTTATAGCCTAAGGTCATCTCGATAAATGCGCTACCCAACACAAAAAGAAATGTTCAATTCGATACCTCTTGAGTTTAGCGTATTCAAGCTAACAAACTCTGCAGCTTTATATATCGGTATAGATAATAAGTATAGTTTAATATTTTTTTGCATAATCCTATAATTTACATGGTCTCTGAAACTATATGATTACCAATGTGATCAAAATTCTAGAAAACTGAGAAAATTTTAACTGGCCAGTTGACCCGGTTTTAAACGAAAGTCAAGCGGAGCTTAAAACCCTCCATTAGCGCTGTACATCAACTCTCGTATCTAACGATAAAACCGTCGGATTAAATACTTATCACATTCTAAAACCATTTTTACATCATATTTATTCATACAGAACTTGGCTATTTATAAATATGTTTATCCAACTACGTATGACGTGAAAATTTTTCAATTTTAATCGAGCCAAATAATTTAATAGATTTGTTTATTCAAATCTATACTTAGGTACATTATAAAGCTGAAGAAATTTTTGTTTGTTTGGACGAATTGAAAAAAATATTTTTGTATTAGGCTATAAAACATCGGTTGCTACCAATAGGAGCAAAGAAACGGTAGGAAATGTGGAAAAAACAGGGAAGATTATTTTTCTTTGAGGGTTTCTGTCGAGTCCGCTGCGAAAACGGGTCAAGATACACGAACACATACATACGTATGTGTAGAACAATTATTCTCCTTTAAATAATCTAAAATAATGTCTCCGACAGATGTCTTACTTACTTAACTCGCAGCAGCCGTTATGGTAATAAAATTTTGGTCTAAACACTTCAAATAACAAAATAACGTTTGTTTGCTAGCTTAGTTGTTGGTTGACCATGTTTCATATATGAAATGTAATGTAAAATAGCCTTTAATTTAGAGTTTATTGTACAATATACTCATTATACTGTACATTATTTTCATTTCGAGTAAATATCGACAGGAAGTACTCGGTACTGTTAGTTCACACTTCACTTGTGTAGGCGTTTGTTGATAGGAACGCGGAGAGGCTTTCGTGGTGACAGCAATTTGCGCGTCAATGTCAAGATTCAAGAGGTCACTGAGGGCCCTCTTCAGTACGTAATAACTAGGAACGGCTATATATTGATTTTTTAACTATTAAACGAAGACTGGCCTTTAGACCTTAGAAACAAGTACTCATACCTTAATAAATTATAACAATGTCAGTAAAACAGTAAAAGTGACAGTCGAATAATGTCGTAAATAAAAACTCTTTGTTTCTACTACCAGCTCATTAGTAAGAATAACTTTTGCTTACCTTATAACAACATGTCCGATTGAGTGACTAGTGTCTCGACGGACCACAAATGGAATGTGTAATCGGAAATGGGGGTAGAGTGGTGCACGGGGTAAAAGCAGTGCTGTGTCCCCAGCCCTCGCCTCTCTGTAACCAGCGCGGGCTCCGGCCAACGTCACCATGCCCAATGGCCAAGCTGGTTGTACAGAAACTTTTCCACACACACCTTCTCCACTTTCACCGCTATTCGCTTCTGCTGCACTATACGCTAACTTCAATGATCGTGGTGGTCTTTTCCCCTTGCCATCAGCCGGCCACCATGCCGCTGGCACTGTCAATTCAGCGAGACACGCACCTTCTTCCCCCTCCGGACCGCATGTAGCCGTGAGAGTTTTGGATCCCAAACTTGCATGCAATGTTATACAAACTCTGCGTAATCTGGCGGCGGCTCGTCGGGCACCCCCTTCTCCACCAGTGTGAAATAGTACTCGTAACACGGGGGCGTCACGGGGTAATTCACGAAAAACGAGATGAGCGGATACGTCAAGTCTGTGAGCGGTCGCATCTTGCAATTCTAGTAACGTAGCATTCCGCCTAGGCTGTTCCAGGGGGTCGGGTACGGCGTACCGAGCGGGGACGGTTTGTTTTGTCGAAAACGGTCCATAGGTCGCTCTCACAGATGCTGGAGCAGACCCCTGTAAGACCGTAAACCGGTCAAGGGAAAGCAGAGCACCGGGAAGAGCTGTGCCCATGGGCTCCGGTGGAGGACCAGCTCCGTTCCATCTCGCCGTATGTTTTAGAAAAAACCCGCTATCTTTGTTTTCGAAGTGAACTTCCACCGCTAACACGGAACCTGTTAACAAAAGTTAATCGTTAATACATAATAAAGTGGCCCTGTCATCACTAACAAATACCATACGTAAATTCACACTTTTATTTTTTCAGTTGACAAAAGATAAAAGAACGCTTTAAATGTTGGCTCTCAGCCAGAACTGCAATCGTGTACTCCGAGATATTGTTTTTCCCTTGTTTACTAACATTGAAATATATTAACAAAGATTTTTGTTTCAACTTTGTTTATGGGAATAAATGGGGTTTAAGTAATGGTGAAATACCCCAGCCACATAACATTTAAACAAGATGCGATGTCGACCTATTTTGGCTTTGGATATTCGGAAATTTACAGACTAAAACCGAAACGCAATTAAACTTCCTGGCTTTGTCCTCTGTGGTGCTTTGGGAACCGGTCATTCCCACCTCCCATTTTATATCCCGATTTCAACAATCTAAAATCTCAGAAAAGTTATAAATTGATTAGAGAATGTTAGACGCCGTGGGGGTCGAACCCACGATTATATTAGCCATACATCGCTAACATTACACGGTCGCGCCTGTATATCTCTATTTTGTTGGGATGGAGAGTAATTCCGTTGTTCTTTTGTTTATAACTTGCACTGAACTAGATACGTTCTCTTTAAAATCTGTAGGATAATTAAGAAAATGCTAATGTGCAATGCAGTCTGAGTCGGTTGAATAGATGAATATATTTTCGTTGACGAATGCATCGTCAGGAAGCACAATCGTGACTCGTCTCACTTATTGCGAGGATTTGTGTCACATTTCCGTGACGGCACCACATAGAATTCATTATGACGTTTCCTAATGATTTTCAGAGTTAGTTGCATGTTGGATTTGTAAATGGTACACGCATATTTTTATACTTTGCATTTTATAAGAACGAAAGCATTAGTAAATGTTTCAATAACTAATTATTGTATAGAAGTTTAAGTCAGCTTACTTGAAGGAATATCTCGCGGTATATAATAAAATGACTTAAACATGAAATATAGGAAACTTATTTTAATACTGATTATTCACTAACATGCATTTTTTTTTAATTTACTATAATGTTATATTTATGTTTTGAAAATTATTAATTCAAACTTTGCGCACGAGGTGCATATCTACAAATACAAATACGTTATTTTCCAAAAAATATTGTTTACAATCCTTGTGCATGATTGAAAAATATCCACAAGGACGTGACAAGCTTAGTTGTTACAACAGCACGATACGTTGTGGTCGTGGTTTTGCATGATTTAATCTGTCATAATTAAAAAAGAAATTCTACTAAATATGTCAGGAGTGACAAACATATTACCTGTATGACACATAATTACTAGCTGTCTCAGCGGCTTTCTCGGCGTAAAATAGTTATTTTGGAATTCAAGATTTGTTTTTGAAAAACCCTTCAACTTTTTAAATCGCGACCTCGGTCGTGTTCTTACGAATTAATCATAAAAGATGAACATACAGTGCGCGGACATTTTAGATAATTTAAAGAATCATTATTTCATACACATTATTTGGGTATCTTGAACCGTTTTCTCAACGTTAACAACGGAAACTTACAATTATGATTAATTTTACCCGTTTTCTCCACAAATTATTCGCTCCCATTAGTTGCAGCGCGTTTTATATCTTATAACATTCCTCGATTAAAACTCTAACCAACACAAAAATATTTTTTCCATTCCCACCAGCAGTTCCACTGCGATTAGCGCGTTCAAATTTATATATTAGTGTAGATGAAAAGGCGTCGTACATATAATGCCAACTGCCTTCGAGAACCGTTCAACGTTAAGTACTTATTGTAGAATTCTTAAAATGATAACAGTGGCTGGCTTCACAGCGGTGGAAGCGCTTCATTTGCAAGGAAACGACTCTTAAGAACACGCGGCGTAGTGCCCTCAGCTCGCAAGGATAGAGCACGTATAATAAAAAGCTTCGGCACGTGACGCACTTAGAACAAAGAGAATTCCCGCGCTCAATCCCTCTTAGGATATAATACATTGTTATAACGTTCCCAACAAAAATACTAAGTTACATTACGTGTTCTCGGAAAATCAAACTATTCACTTGTATTTTCTTTATAAATTGTATACTGTTGAAATATTGTTGACGCACAAAATGTAACGTTTGAAAGCTTTAATATTTTTTACATGTTGGCACTATATGCAGATGACTCGGTAGCTCAATTGGTTAGACTTTAGAGCAACGGAACGCTGAGCATGCCGGTTCCTGCACGAGTCGTAAATTTTTTTCAATTAATTATATTATCGTTTCTTAATTCATACATAATTTACTTAGATTATGTTACTTTTTTATAAAGCGGTTTTGTTGCTCTATGTGTCAACTTAAGAAGTCGGACATGCGTATTATGTTGTAGCCACTTTGAAACTATGAAAGAAACATAAATTATCCCGTTTCCCTTTACGGGGCATGGGGCAGGCTTTTTTTGCCCGAGTCTGTTTTACAATTCGATTTTATTACCAGAGTTAGTCGGTTACATACTTCTGAATTTACATCTAAATAAGTTTCCAAGGTACTATGGAAGGTAAGCTAGGCATACAAGTAATAAGTCAGTTGTAACTGGACCTTGTTTTGAACTAGTCACAACATATAGTAAGAAATACTTTTATACCTATGCAGGTATACGTAACCCAAAACAACGGCGTAATGTCGTCAATTAATTTCTAAAATGAATGTTGTCACAGTGCCATCACAGACGAGTAACAAATGAGCTAATATTTGTTCGTAACTGAATACATTTTCACTACATTCTATCGTTGATCAATATTGAATACTAACATGGGACATTTATTAGAATACTAACATTCTGTGTCAATGAGTTTTACTAGTTTAAATACAACAATTTAACAGTTTAAAACGGGATGTATTTTAATTAAACTTGTTTGAAAATTAATTTCAACTACGGCCTGTCGTTTCGGATGCTTGGCAGCAATCGTGGTGACGGGGAGACAGTATTTTACTAGCCTATTTTATGCATCAAGTAATATTGTCTGTTATAGGTAATATTAATGCTGATTTTTTGGGCTCTCTTCCAGAGAACCATAACGAAAGAAATATTGCAAAAAATGAGAACTACGAAATTAACGAAGTAAATTAATACGACATATATTAAATATAACTTAACGCGTAGACCCTAATTTTTTTTTTTTTAATTAATAAAAAATTACCCTAATTTATAATTTGTATAAATGGTACATTGGTCTAATAAAAGTTAAATGGTAATTAACTAGCTGTGCCAGCGTCTGCAAGAATCGTTATTTTGGGCGTCCAAATTTGTTTTTGCAAACCCCTTCATCTTTATAAACTTAAGCTGTACCCACGACGTCGCGTTTGTCGCGTCCTTTCCCGTCGTTCTTGCAAGTTAATCTAAAATCAAGTTAATAAAAAGATATATAGCATCGCGGACTGTTTTTAGATCATTTAAAGAGACATCATTATTTTGTAACCCAAACATAATTTTTTCAATTCGTACCAGTAGTTCCAGAGATTAGCGCGTTCAAACATACAAACTCTTCAGCTTTATATATTAGTAAGTATAGATTACTCTTAATTTATTATTATTCTTATTTATTCAAATTGAATATATAATAAAGTAGTATTGTGTATTTTGAATCCTCACTATGATGTAAGCAAGGTTTGCAAGTTTCAGTGGTGGTACACGTAAGTACATTAATGTTACATTTATAACATTAATGTACTTACGTGTAAACGTACATAAAGATAAAAATAAAAACTTATTGGGCAAACAGATAATGAGTGTAAAGTTAGTAGCCATTAGTTTGATTATTGTTAGTCTTTTATATCCAGATAGATTATCTGATACCTAAAAGCCTAAAAGTGAAGGTTAAGTAGAACGTTCGCCCAAGCCGCGCCCTTTAAAGGTCGTTCTGATAAGACAACTTTTTAGTATTTACATTATTGATCACTGTTATATATGTATAACAGTTGAGGGCTTTAGAAAGGCTTATAACGATAAATAATAAACAATAAACTCAGAACGCACTTTGATACTGCTTAAGAAATCTAATTTGTAAGATATGTTGGCTTAACATCTATTTTAGATTTTTAAAAATATGAAACAGTATTGTCTTTAAATATTGTCTATAGTTTACGCGAGTAGTACACATTTAAATAAAACACTTTAACGGTTTAAAATGCGATATATTAGTTAAACTTATTTGAAAATGATTTTCAACTTCGGCGTCGGGCAAAGCATTACTTTGACGTCAGAGACGCCCTCCATCTTTAGTCTCCCCGTGACCACGGCTGCTGCAAAGCATCCGAAACGTCGGGCCGAAGTTAAAAATAATTTTTTAAATAAGTTTACCTAATATACCGCGTTTTAAACCGTTAAAGTGCTTATTTAAGTATTATCTTTAGTTTAAGCGAGTAGCCCTTAATAAAACACTTTTAACGGTTTAAAACGCAAACTTGTTTTTTATAAAACAGGCCAGACCCGAACACTATCTTTATTGTAGCACGGAATGGTCTTGGGTTCCAGACCCGGGCGTGTCATCAGTTTTTTTGATCTAATAAATATTTTAAATTCATGTTGGCATCATAAATATTATATGTTCACCAACTTATGAAAAATAATTATGCTTTTAACGTTAAAGGTTGAAAATTAGCGACGACACAACACTTGCAATTCCTTCGCCATAATACGTGATAGCCGTAAATTCAAAGTAAATTATAGTCTCCAATCGCATCGTAAGCACTTTCCTCTGGAATTTGTATAAAACGACAGTAAAGCGGAAAATATCGAGGTAAAAGAACGGTGCGCTCATAAAAAAATATGGTTCACCCTCCGTGCGATGGCGAGGGCTCGGCTCCGAAGTAAATTGGTTCATTTCTTTTTTCAATTTAAATACCGTAACGTAAATTTGCATTCTTATTTTCAACCTACATTGTCGATTACGTTTAACTACTCTATTACAATAAAAAAACCAGTGCACAGTAAATCATTCGTTCTTAACTACATCAGTTAATAAGTATTTTATTTTTAAAATGCATAGCAAATCTAAAAATAACATAATTGAAAACTTTATTATTTTTTACATGTTATTGTTACAATATATAATTTCTAATCTATTTCTCTGGACACTCAATTAAATCAATAAATAAATAAATAATTATATAAATATCTCCCCCATAATTTTATTACAGCTCATATTGATGCACTTCCAGTAAATTTAGGACTAACCTGTTGAAAAAAAACTTCCCATTTGACATTACTTTTACTTTTATTAAAAATATTGAACCACGCTTATATGATTGTGTGTGTAGATGACTAGTGTGTGTGTGTGCGAGAATGTGTATGATAAATTTATTTTTTTGTAAATCATTAGTTCTTTTTTGTTTTTTTTTATTAGAGATTCTTTAGTCCTTACTATACTTGTCTAATGTGTGCCTTTTAAGCCAAAGTTAGACAAGAATACGAAACAAGTTCAGTAGATAACTAAAGTATTTAATATGCACGCATACTTAAAACAATTCAAACTATGGAAGCACTGAATCGTCTTATACACGTTCTTATACTGCACAAAGTAGATTAGAGTCAATTACTAATGGAAGCCGTTTCACAAACGATTACACACTTCTGTAACTAACTAATCGGCCCATCAGTTTCCTAGACAAATCGCCCTACTGGTCTATAGTTTATATACGACACGTGTGCGAACAAATCCATTTTATGTGTATAAACATAGGCTTCACACCCCTTAACTCGTCAGTGCGTAACAGCATAAGAGAAATTTTAAGAAAACACTTTTAAGT